TTAATATGATAATAAAATAATCAAAAAAAACTTAAAATTTTAAAAATAACAAAGCAATTGTTTTTTATTTAAAATAGTTCAACAAATATGTACTTATTTTAAAGCCAGGTATTTAGTATATAAATACAAGAATATTATCATTAAATATATTCAATTAAAAATATCAAAAAGATATTTAAATTTAAAAATGGAAGGCAAAACTTTATTTTTAAATATTTTCCTTTTCTTTACCTTTATTTTACTCATTAAAGCCCAAAATAATTTAGTAGTTTCCCCAAAATATACCACAAAAGATACTTGCCTTAATCCGTCAAAAGCTTCTGGCCCAATTACTTCAAACCTTAATAAACCAATTAATGGGGGTATATTTACATTATATGGAATTGGTGGGCGTGGGGCCTGTGGATTGGATATTGATGCTGTAATTTATTTATTTCATCTTAAATAGAATCCGTTTAAATTTTTGATATTGTCTCTGAATAACTTAAAAGGATTTGTGTTTTTCTGATTAAATTATGATTCGGACCGGTTATTTTGTATTTAGTTCAAACTCATTTGTCAGTAGATAAGTATATCCCAAACACTTATCCCGAATATTAAATAAACTCAGTAGAGTTTATTTGGCCCAATTACTTCAAACCTTGATTCAAATTAAAATCTAGCCAACAATGTCGGCAGCTGCGTCAGGTTCTCTTTTTAACAACGCTGCCCAATGGGTTCCTTCTTGTCTAACAGATAAGCGTTACTTGCTTAACGACCCAATTTGTATGAGTAAATGTGTTAAAATAACCTATAAATGTGTTGGGTGTTCGGCTGCTAAAACGTTTAATTTTATCTAAAATCCTGAAAAACTCTTTTCGATTTTAACAGTTTAACAGTTCCAATAAACAATAAATGCCCAGAATGTGCAATAAATCATGTAGATTTGTCCACTGATGCTTTTAAATGGCTTGAACCTCAGGGAGGGACTGTTGGTATTGCTAAGGGTAAATTTAAATAAATTTATTAAATTTTAGTTCAAAATATTTATTTTAGATGCAACAATCACCTACATTAATTGCTAGAATTTTAGTAGATGATTAGAGTTCTTTTTAATTTTTTTAAAATAAAAAGCTTTAATTATAAAATTCTTCCTTTTTTATTTTAACTATTGTAGAATATAATTAGTACATTAAATATAAAAATGAATTAGATTAAATAAAATTATTTTGATATGATATGGATTTACATATATCGGCACCACACTTCTTTTGATTATGTATAATCTGACCCGTAAAATTAAATCGAGACAAAAAAATAAATTCAAGATGTTACTAAACGATAAATGAAAACAAACCCTAGGGAAAATGATAAAATATTTTCCGATGTAAGTTTTACATATTTATATAAAATCAAATTAAAATACCAAATAAAATGCCTAATAATCAGAAAATTAAACTGGCTAAAATTTAATTAAGCATAATTTTATACTATCTAAATTTTTATTAAACAATATAAAGAAAGCCTCCTCAACTTTAGCTATTATAAACTTGAATAAATTATGTATTAAATCTATAATTTTTAACATAAATTTAATAATTTAAAAGTACTTTTCATTGTTTAATGTCTAAATAATTAGTTAGACTTTAAAATTTGGAATAATTATTTTAATTGTAATTCTGAACAAATATTAAAGTGCATATTATTTAATATATAAATATGTGAATGTTATTAATTAAATTAAAATTAAATTAAATTAAAAATTATTCAAATATTTAAAATTAAAATATATAATTTAACAAAAATGCAATTTAATTTGCTTTTAATATTTTTCATAATATTTATTAATGTTGCCCTTATATTTCCAGACAAGCCAAAGGACTGCCCAGAACTTCCAACAAACCCTAAAAAACCTAAAAATCCAAAACTTCCTTCTAATCCAAAAAAACCAAACCCTCCAATTAATGACGGAAATAATAAAGTAGTTAAGGCAAAATATACAGAAAAAGATACTTGCCTTTCTGAATCCAAAGCTAATGGGCCGATTAAATCAAATCTTAATAAGCCAATTAATGGGAAATTTACATTTTATGGAACTGGTGGTCGTGGAGCTTGTGGATATGATATGGATGAGGTAAAAATTAAGAAAGAAATTTTAATTAATTGTTAACAAATATTAGCATACAAATACTGTTAGGGTAATTAAAAAGTCAAAATTAGATATTTTTGTCACAAAAATTTATGTATATAATTATTTCTCAAAAATCATCCCAAAACATTCAATGATTTAGCCAAAATTCTCTGCCGCTGCTTCAGGCTCTCTGTTCAACCCCGGTGGGCAATGGGTCGAATCATGCTTTAAAGACAAGCGTTATGTACTTAACGACCCAATTTGTATGAGTAAATGTGTTAAAATAACCTATAAATGTGTTGGGTGTTCGGCTGCTAAAACGTTTAATTTTATCTAAAATCCTTAAAAACTTTTTTCAATTTTAACAGTTTAACAGTTCCAATAAACAATAAATGCCCTGAATGTGCAATAAATCATGTAGATTTGTCTACTGACGCTTTTAATTATCTTGAGCCGAAAGGTGGAATTGTTGGTGTTGCTAAAGGTTAATTAATGTGTCCAATGAATTAATATTCATTAAATTCCAGATGCAACAATAACTTATATTAAATGTTAGAAAAGAAGTTATTATAAATTGTTATAAACAAAAGAAATAAATATGTAAATAATCCTAGTTATTTCAATTTCTAGAATTTATTTTATATTGTTATTGTTTGTGTATAAAATTATTGGCAATCCAGGAGAATTGGGGTCCCTGCGGGAAAAAATCTTAAAAATAAGAAAAAGGATTTTTCTAGGGTAAAAAAGTACGCTGATTACGAATCTGAACTCAGATTTTGAAAAAGTCGAATCTGAACCCGAATATAGGTCCTCGAATATCGAAAACCCATAGGGGGACCAAGCTGATATGGGGTGAAAAATTCGAATATGCAAATTATACCTCATTCGAAAGAGCTCTTCAAGCTGAGTTGAATGACACCGAAATTACCGTGATTGAACAAGATTGGACGAAGTTATACCACAAAAAACAAACAACGTAGGCCTATGTTTTTTGTGTCATAACTTCGCCTGATCTTGATCAATTGCGATGATTTTGTTGTCATTCGACTCAGCTCGTCTAGCTCTTTCGAATGAGATATTATTTGACCAATTTACGCTCTGTTTATTTTTCGAAATTTTTCCCAAAATGTCAAATATCCGAATTTCGGGTTCGGGATTCGACTTTTCCAAAATCCGAGTTCAGACTCGTAATCAGCATATTTTTTTACCCTAGAAAAATCCTTTTTCTTATTTTTAAGATTTTTTTCCACAGGGACCCCAATTCTCCTGGATTGCCAAATTATTAGTTTATTCATTTATTTGTATCGACTTTTAAAAAAATTTTTATAAAAAAATCTCCTGCCAGTCCCGCCCGCGCTTTAATGTCCCATTTCCCTGCGGCCATTGTACGACTGACTGATTTTTCTTTTTTCGCTTTTTAGTGGAAACATTTTTACTTTAATGTTTTTGGAAAAAGAAAAAATAAATATTAGGCGTTTTGGTTGCATTAAAAAGGAAAGAAAAATAAAATCACACGTTTTGTAAATAAAAATGTTTTTTGCGGTTTTAGTTTTTGGAGAGAAAAAGAAGAACCTGTTGTTGTTTAGATGGCCAAAATTGAATTTATTTTTATGTTTTTTAACACATATTAAAAAAACTTTTTAAAAATATCTATGGATTTATGTATATTGTATTTTAAAAATATATTTATTGAATTATATACAGCAAATTTTTTGTTCAAATATATTAGTACACATTGCAGTTTTGACTTAATTGAAATTTTCTAATTATTTTTAAATTCCATTTCTTAAAAGCTTATTTACACATAAACATTCATTTAGTCTTAAAAATTTTTTTTCTGAAGAAACTATAAAAAAGTGATTTTTTTGGTACCAGCTAACAAGTATCGAAAATTCTCAAAATTTTATCAGTACCGTGCCGGTAGTCCCGAAGTACAAATACTTTGGATGGTACCGCGGTAGAACCTAACCATGCCGAACAATCATGGTGCCTTCATTTCCACTAATTTAAAATAATTCATTATTATACCTAAATTATTTCAAAAGTTTCAAATAATTTCAAAATATTTCATTAGCAAAATTTAAAATAAAATTTCCCTTCATTTCCTGTTTTTACTTTTTTAATATTAAATTTAATTGCGAATTATTTCAAACAAACAGCCACAACCACCACCCCATACAACTAATTTCTCTCATTTCATTTATCGTTCATCACAATTAATTTGTATTAAATTTGCTCTTAAAATTAAATTTTATTTTTTGTGTTTTCTTTTTCGAAAAATTTAAATTAGTTTAGGTGATGACTAATTTAATAAAATTACTAAAAAATGTTTAATTTAATAATTACCCTCTCTAATAATTACCCCTAGTTATTTTACGCAAACTTTAAAAATATTTAAAAAATTATTATCAAATTTAATTACTGGAAAATTTTAAGACTCAATATAATTCTATTGGATTAAGATATACCCTAAATCCAGCACATTCTCCTTAATAATCACCCCCTACAGCGAGAGATTGAAACTAATTACCCACGGTAATTATTTCAGCATTTACGACAGATGAATTTAATTCAAAGAAACTTTTAATCAGGCTTGTCTAAACACTCTTTATTATTCTATGATTTAAATAAAAAGCATTTTCGTTATGTCTCATTTCTAGTTATCAAACTCTCGCTAGAGGGGCTAATTATTAGAGATGGGGAATTATCTGAGAAAGAGTTTTGTTTAGTTTGTATGTGTTTTTAATCTTAATTTTTTAAATTTTAATAATAAATAAATAACCAATTAAACCAAAATTCTATTAAGCAATTTTGCTTAACGAATTTAATAAATATTACAAAACAAAAAAATTTTCAGGGTAATTTTTTTAATTTAAAGAAAATTATAAAAATGCCTCAACAGCGGTTTAATAAATCCTTAACTTTATTTATTCTCTTAATATTTTTATTGAATGTAAAATCGGAGAGACAAAGTATTGAAATTTAAATATAAAAAATATATAATAATTTTATTAAGCAATTTTAGCTTACAGAGCACCGGGAGAATGTGATGTTAATGATCCTTTGAGTTGTAGTCGGCAAAAACACGAAGTAAAGATTTTAAAACCTTGCATTATATTAAATAAAATTTTATAAAATGCTAGAATAAAAATGACTATCTAAAAAAAACTAAAAATGATAGGGGAAGATCTTATAAAATTTAAAATATTTGTTCGCCAATTTTAAAATTTTTAATCCAAGACCAGACCAGTTTAATTCAACTCTATATCATAGATTTAAAAAAAACTCCAAATTCAAAATCAACTAAATTCTCTTTTAAAGGTTTGTTCCTTCCTCGATGGTGTCTATAAATGTACTTGTGCAAGTAGTTATTCTAGATTACCAGATGGACGTTGTTTAGCTATAGATGAATGTAGCGATCCAAAACTTAATGAATGTTCAACAGATGCTATTTGTAAAGATCTTGTGAGAGAAAATAATTTAGGAGAACTTTTTATATTTAAATAATTTAGCCGGAAGGATATTCTTGTCATTGTAAACCTGGATTTGCCGATGTATCTAAACGGGGGAGACCAGGAAGTGTATGCCGAAAGGAGCAAAATGAGTGTCAGAGCCCTCATACTTATGGTAAGATTATATGAAGTTACCTATATTAGTTAAAAATTAATATCTTTCCAAATATTCTTCATCCGTTAGAAGTACTCCGAAATAAAAGTATTATTTGTTACAAGGTGTCGATTGTGATACAAATGCTGCATGTACCGACACAAGTGGCAGTTACGAATGTCGTTGCAATCCTGGATATTCAGACGTATCTGAAACTTATGCATTACTTCCTGGCCGTAAATGTATACAAACTATTAATGAATGTGAAGACAAAACAAAAAATGATTGTAGTGAAAATGCTATTTGCACAGATGCAAAAGATGGGTAAATTTTGGAGATTTTTTTATTATTTCCCATGTTTTATTCTGGACTTGTTTCAATTTTCCACTAAACAATCTCTCAGATTAAATATTCAAGATTGAGTTAAATTAAATTAAATTTAATCTCTATTTCTTAGTTATACATGTGCATGCAAGAAAGGGTATGTTGATGCATCTACAAATGTTGCAAAATACCCTGGGCGTACTTGCAACAAAGCAGTACAGGAAGAACAACATTATATTACTAATATTAAACAATGTGGGGGTTCACATCACTGTCCAAATGGACAGGTGATTGAAAAATTAAACATTATCTTTTAGTTTAGAAAGATTAAATTATTTTTGTTTTCACAAATCAACTCTCCATATCCTCCAAATTATCTCTAATAATTTTTAGATTTGCGTGGATGATTACTGTAAATGTCCGGAAGGATCTGTTTTGGTTGGAGGGGGTTGTAAACTTACTGCAGCTTGTCAAGTTAACAAAAAATTATTGCAAAAATATTTTTTTAATTAAAATTAGGTTGATCCCGAATGTGACAAAAATGCTTTATGTATTAATGTTCTCGGTTCATATACTTGTCAATGTAAACCGGGGTATTTTGACGTTGATCCAGTAACACCTGGACGTGAATGCAAAGAATGTATCCGTTTAAAGAACATATTAATTTCAAAGGATGTTTTTAAGTAACAAATGAATGTGTTGATCGTCATGAATGTTCACCATATGCAAAATGTATAGACAACAAGGACGGATATGAATGTGAATGTAATGATGTGTACACTGATGTTTCACATCAATTCGGGTTGAAGCCTGGAAGGAAATGTGTAAATAGTAAGAGAATACAAAAACTTGAAAATATTTTTAAGAGAAAATACAAATTCCCAAATTTAATTAGCAAGCAACGAATGTGCTGATCGTTCTCTTAACACTTGTGATGAGAGTGCTGATTGTATTGACACACCACAAGGATATACTTGTCAATGCTTTAGCGGTTATATTGATGTTTCTGTATCTGCACATTTACCTCCTGGAAGAGTTTGCACTGTTGAAACTAGCTGTCCAAAACAAAAAACTGATCTAATATTTTTGATTGACGGTTCTGGGTCAATTGGTTCTCAAGTGAGAGAAAATATTTCATATAGAGAAACTATTTTATATACTAAGTTATACCCCGGTAAGGTACAATATTTTGGCCCTAAGTGTTTCTTATAGCGAGATCCGGTCTTAATTTGTATTAGAATTATATAATACTAAACATTTCAGGTTTTTCGTAATGAGGTTTTGCGATTTATTAAAGAATTTATTGAACTTTTTGATATTGGACTAGACAACACTAGAGTAAATTAATTAATATTAATTTAAAAATAATAATACGGCATTTACTCGATTAAATTATTAATATTTTATACACAAAATTCTCTAAAATTTAAGTATTTCTGAAAATAGAGGGTCCAGTTACAGAGGGTCCAGTTACTTTTCCTGTACTATTTAAATAGGATTATAAAAAAATGACACCTAAATAATATCAGAAGATAAATCTTGATATCAAAATAATGGTAGTTCGAACTAATTACCCTCACTCAATAATTACCCCGTCCCCTTCAAGTTAATTAGTCGAGTAGATATGTTAATTAATTTAAAAATATATAGGTAGGTTTAATTCAATACTCTGACCAAGTTCGGCATGAATTTGGACTTAACCAATATTCTGATAAACAATCTCTACTTGCAGCAGTTGATAATATTAATTATTTGACTGGATTAACTAGGCGAGTTTGATTTTAAAAAATTATTTTTTTGTTTTTGTTTGTTTTTTATTTTGTAAATTAAATAAGAAAATTCCTTTAGAACCGGCGCTGCTATAGAACATATGGTAAATGAGGGATTTTCTGATCGCCGTGGAGTACGTCCAATTTCTGAAGGTGCTAACCGTGTAGCTGTAATTATTACAGATGGGAGAAGCCAAGGCAAAATTAAAATAAATATTTCTTTATTCCACTACGATTTTAGATAATGTTACCCAACCAGCTAAAACAGCTAGATCTTACCAAATAAATATATTTGCTATTGGTGTTACTGATCATGTTTCTCCAACAGAATTAGAATTAATTGCTGGTTCACCAAATAGGTGAATTTTTGTTGAAACAATTTTAGTTTTCAAAATAAATAATTTGTATAATATTCGTAAGTAATCTTTCTTGTCTTCCTGAACTGGATCTAAATTTTTAAAATATTTTTTAGATGGTTTTTGGTAGAAGGATTTAAAGATTTAAATACACGTTTGCGTTCTCTTGTTCAAAAATTGGCATGTCCAACACCTCCACATATTCCAAATCCTCCCAATGGATTATGTAGTCCAGATACACAAGAAGGTTGTGATAGAACTTTGGGACAAATTTGTCAACTTGTTGGAGGACAGTCAGTTTTTAAAATCAAATAATCACCTACCTACCTATATTTATTTAATTATAACTCTCTTAGACCTACTTGCCAATGCCCGGATGACTTCCCTGCCCACCCTAAAACAAAAATTTGTGGTGGGGATATTTGTAACCAAGAAGTAGCTACTACATGTCCAAATCCTGAAGTAAATATAATTTTTTAAACAAAATTACTTTCTATTATCAGATATGTAGACGTACTCCTCTAGGAAATTATCGTTGTGTTTGTCCAACAGGATTTGTGCGAGAATCTCGTTCAGGCGTTTGTATTTCCACTAAAGCCCAACCTATGCCTCCTGCACCTCCATGTTATGGAGGAAAAATATTGAATCCGAGGACTGGTGAATTTAGATATTTGTAAAATTAAATTGTTTAATACATCGTAATACGATGTGGTCTTTTTTTTTGCCTTTCTCCTTCTCAAACTGATTGTTGTAACCCAATTATGTATCCTTTCAAAAAATTTCCCTCTGCGAAATGCCATGCTGTTTCAATCTTAGATCTTTAAAGCTTTTGGGTAGTCTGAAGTTTTTTGATCCACTAAATTATTACACTTTTAACCCATTAAGAAGGAGAAATTAATAAAATGTAGGTAGATAAACCGATAGTAATAAGATAAGCTTCTATTTAACTATGCCAATTGTTTTACAGCCAAATGTCTTTCTCCTGGAGAATGTGATCCTTCAGATGTTTATTCGTGTGATTTACGTAAACGAGAAAGGTGTTTACCTAATCAACAACAAGTTGCCCCTGCTGAGGTTAGCAGTAATGTAGAACAGACTTATAAAAGGCATAGAAAACGTAATGAACCGACTTACGCAACAAGTAAAAATATTTTGAAAAAAATTTGACAATTTTTAACTAAAATTTAAAGGAGCCCCAATTACCTACTCGTTGAGTGCCGAATACACTTGCCAGTGTACAGCTGGGGAAAAACGGCACCCAATCACTAATGTTTGTTGTAAGTATTGATAAAATAAAAATTAAAAAAAATATTCCAAAAAAGTGCGTAATGAATGTCTTCGAAAAGAGGATAATGATTGCAATGTAAATGCCCATTGTTATGACACTGATGATAGTTATTATTGTGTTTGCTTTAGTGGATATTTAGATCAAAGTCCTGATAAGGCTAGTTGTATACTTAAATATTTTGAAAATTAAATAAAAGAATTTAAGGTTTATAAAGCAGGTCGTGCTTGTGTTAAACCGCAAAGATGTTCGGACGGTACTTCTCGTTGTTCACCAAATGCAATATGTACAGACACAGATTTTGGGTATCAATTATTTGTTATTTTACTCGAAATAAAAATAATTCACAACTCAGATAATATAGAATTTTATTCATTAGCAACGAGAGTTTTCCTATCAATTTAAATTAATCAGAAATAATTTATTAACATTCATTTTAATGGATTAATTTATTGTTCAATTTTAATTTAAACTATGGTTTTTCCCTTCAAATTTCGATTAGAAACCCAAGTTTAAGAATACCTACTACGAATTAGAGTGCAACGGAGGAAAATCGTATCCTATTATCACCGAGTTGAAAACCCTTAGTTTGAGCTTAAATACTGGGTAAACTAAGCATTCCTTGACAATCAAATTTTTATTTATTTATTTGTTAAAGTATTGAGTGCCGTTGTAATCAAGGTTATGTAGATTTATCGCCTAATCGTCAACATCAATCCGGACTTGTTTGTGAAAAACAAATTAATGAATGTGATAATAATCCGTATTTTTTAAGCTTTTTTAAAAAGTTATTAGAAAGTTTAATTTTTTAGTTGCCCTCCAGGCACAAACTGTATAAACACAGTTGACTCTTATTATTGTGCTTGTAAGCCTGGTTACACTGATGTGGATGCTTTATATAATTCAAACAATACTCACCCAAATTGCCAACCAAATGTTTGTGTTTTAAGTTAAAAACTTAAAATTGTAAACAGCTAAAATTCGATCCATTATATGATTCCCATGAAATAAGCTTTTGCCGGGGCGAGCGAAGCAATCATAGCCGCAGCGGATCATGACCATTGGGAATTCTCTGACTATGAATTCCATGGTGTAGATTATTAGATGATCTCCACCTTACCTTTGTAGAGAGCATAATAAACTTTTAAAAAGGCAACAAACTAATAAATAATTTTTCATTTATTCTAGAAAGCTGAAACTCAAATAGGCTGCCCTGTTCCATCTGATTGTGATAAATATGCAACTTGTATTCCTTTAGCTTCTGGATATACTTGCCATTGTAAAAAAATATTTTTAAATATTTATTTAATTATCATCAAGGCAATACTGGTTTTGAGGACAAATCTAATGACAGTGGAAAATTGCCAGGGAGAGTTTGTGTTCCTTTAATTGTTCCTCCAAAAACTTGTGGTGGGCAGGTCGTTAAAATTATCTAATAATTTTAAATGGATAAAATATTTTTTTTAAAGATTTGCCGTTCTGAATTGGGTGAGGTTTGCATTGGAGATACTTGTGATTGTCCTGAAGGGCAAAAAAGATCTGGACCTAATGAGAAATGTTATCAAGTAAATATTGATAAAATTAGTTTTTTATGATTAGATCAGGAGAGATTAATTAATTCCTTTGTCATGAAAATAATAGAGAAACTTACCTAATACCTACACATAAATAATTGGGATTTCTGACAAAGATTTAACTAATTTCTATGAAAGAATGTCATAAGATTATAATAATTTGTTTACAATTTAAAAGGTTGATGCCTTTACTTGGCCAATTTGGGTTATTAGAAAATACCACAATCCCCTTTTCTGCAATTCTTCATTTTCCAATTCTTCAGATGAATTATATAAGTAAATGGGAATTTTATTAAAATTTAAAAAATAATTAAATTTAAGGGAATATAGTGATTCTTTTAATGGAGGAATTATTCAAAGTTTTGCTCAAATACCTTTTAGTAAATCTTTGGTTACTACAGAAGTAGCTAACTTGACTTGTCCTGATCAGGGAAATGGTAATTTTGAATTTTATTTGAGAAATTATTCTAAAGGAAGGCATCCATTATAATTTTTATACAATAGGATAATGATTAACAATTAGTCATGTGGACTTTATTAAATTAAAAAAATTTTATTAGCTGATTGTATTTGACCTGTCCTTGTGAAAATTATGAAAATCGAGTTCAAAATTTTGATTATCCATTAATGTTTGATTTAAAACAACTTGAACACAAAAATTAAGAACAATTGGTACTTATCCCTTAATTTGATGTTTACTCCAATACAAATGAATTTTATATCATTCGAAGGCCTTCGATAATCGGGATCCTTTTTCCAACTTGATAGATCTGGTTTGATCTGAAGTTATAATAATAACTTATACATAACTCCAGTTATTTGATGTTTTACACATTTATTGGGTTATAACTTTTAATATATGATCATACCTGGTCCATTAAGCTGGAGATTGTGGGCGTATATACGCCCACAGATTGTGGGCGTATAAGGGATAAGTACCCAATCCTTATTATACATATAGGCCCTAATAATTTAATCAGCCTTCAAATATTACCTTGAAAAGGATTTAATTTCTCTTCAAAAATTATTTTTTAACTTTTTATATAAACAAAGGTATTTTATTCAATACAATATTCTATTTCCGTCATGGTTCATTACCAAATCCACTCGGAGCATTTAATTCATTAATTAATTGGATAAATATACAAAATGACCACCAAGTTGGAAGTAGCGGATTATATTTAAATCCTTACAATGTTTGTGCTGCCAAAATAGAAAATTGTAAAAATTGTGAAAATTCCACTACAGGATATACTTGCAGGTATTTTGAAAAGAAAAAATCTTAAAAAATATTTAATTTTACCATAGTTGTCCTCCTGGATTTGTTGATGGAAACGTAACATCAAATGAATGGCAAACAGTTATCTGTAATGAAACAATTGATGCTACAACAAATAATACTGTAATTTAGTTGACTAAATAATGAAGAAACTTGCCCTAATTTTGTAGGAATGTACTTGTCAATTACTGGCAGCTGCATTGCCTCCAGCTGGCTCTTTGACTGCTTCACATATTCCTTTCATTATATTCCTCATTTTGGCAATTATATTTTTAATTTTAACACTTTGTTGTTGTTTATATCTTTGTTCTCGGTTGCATTGTTTCCGTCGTCCAGCAGCATCAAGTCAAGAATCTCTTTACGGCCCTCTAACAATACCTAGAGCTAAACTTGACGAAGTTTTAATTTTTCTTAGTTTAAAAAATAAATATTTTTAAAGGATCTGGGTTCTCTAGCAAGCAGTGAATATACTGTTCGGGAGGAAATTGAGAGAAGGGTTACAACTGAGGTGAAAATCTCTTTGATTTTTTTAAATTTTTTTAAAAATATTTTTTTAACAAAAAAATATTTTTATTGGCGTTTTGTTTAAATATTCCTAAATTTATTTTAAAATAATTCTACAAATATTTAAAGGTAACAAGAATGGAAGAGCAATTAGTTGGAGGAGAAACAGTTTATGAAGAACATGTTGGAGATAGATCTGATGCTTTCAGACAAAGCCGTTCTGGAGAGTTTTATTCTTCAGGAGGAGGTGGTGGGGGAGGAGGTGAATATTCAAGTGGTGGAGGGACAGAAAGATTTGGTAGCCAAACAAGAGAAAGAGGGGGTGGGGGCGGTGGTTATTATGCTTCTGCTTCTTCTACTGGAGGAGGGGAAGGAGGGGTTTCTGGTGCTCATCAACGTCGTGAATATTATTCTTCTTATGGACGTTAAAGAAGTAAAAGATTTTTTAGAAATATTTTAATTTTAGGCAAGGCAAAAATACTATTTAATTAAATAATTTTACTGTCAATTACATAATTAAAGAAAAATTAAGCTAAAATTGAGAATAATTTTTGTAAATTTAATTTTTAATATTTTATAAATTAATTTTGAAAATTAATTTTTATTTAGAATATACAAACTCGACGACTACATTTTCTGACTACATTTTGTTCGAAACAGTTGAATTATTAAAAACTTAATTTTAATTTCCCGGTTTCCTATCATTTTTTATTTAATATGTAAATGTTACTGCCTTATACTACATTTAATTAATTACATTTTTTTTAATTTTAACAATTCTGCCATTCTTTTTATTATTATTATATTAAATAAAATTTTAAATAATATGCTTGGAAGTTAACAATCTTATTATTAGGGATCGGATTTTTAGGTCGTAAAAACCTTAAAATAGGTACCTAAATAGGTTGTATAAAATGCTGAAATAGGTGACAAAAATAGGCAAATAGGTCTTAAAATAGAGAAATACATTGGCGGAAATTTAAATAGAGAAAAATATTTTTAATTTTATTTCTGAAAATTATTAAGCTAATCATTTATCTCGGACCTTCACTTTTATATAATTTCGTAGCTTTATTTATAAGTAGGGAGTGGCAAAACATGCAAATGCATATTTTGTATGCGGATATGCCATGATCTGAAACGCTCAAAAATGGTGTTTTTACGTCGGTACGAACATTAGGGACCGGGTTCCTATAGCATATTTTTGCATATTTCGGTACTTTCTTGCATATTTGCATATCGATGCATATTTTGGGAAATTCTGCATATTTTTACCTAAATTTGTGCATATTTTGGCATTTTTTGAGAAATTCTAGTAAAAATTGGGCAAAATTTTCAAAATTTTGGAATTTTTTGAGCAAAAATTTTTTTTTGAAAATTTGTCAAAAAAATTTTTTCGAAAAATTTTTCGGGAAAAATTTCTTTCAAAAAAATTTTTTTGGTTGAATTTTAAGATAATAAAATCTTCTAAAAGTGCTTTTAAACTGCAATTTTTATGCTAAATTTGTATTTAAAACTTGAAATATTGATTTCAAAAGCACATTTTCATTATTTTTGCTGCATATTTAGTGCATATTTCGGCAAATTTGGCATATTTTGGCGCATATTTTGGACTTTTTCGGTGCATATATATGCGCATATTTTGGGATTTTCCGTGCATATTTTGCCACTCCCTATTTATAAGCTATCAAATGACTACAAAATTTTCACTTTAGCGTAAAAAAATCATTTATCTATGTTGACCTTAAATTTATCTATGTTGACTTTAAATAGGGAAAATTTTTATATATAGTTTTTTATGGAAAATCATAAAAGAAAAAATAAAAAGAAATTTTCTGAGATCTTCTCTAGCGATATGATGAAGAATGGCAAAAAATCTGAATTTTAACCCAACTCCAACTTCGAGATCTTGAGGTCCAAAATCAACAAAAAATGGGGCTGATTTGGAACACTATGTATGTTTATTAATTTTCTTATTCAATATATTAATTTTAAAATAAAAAAATCCAAAAATTTTAAATAAAACTTTTTTATTTTAATAAAAAATAAATTTTTATAAATATGTATTAGACAATAAAAAAATAATTAACAATAGTTTGGTTGTTCAAAATATTTTTTGTAGAAAATAAAGGAAAACTTTTATTGTTTGCACAAAGTCTAAATTTGTATATTTATTTTTATTTTTGTTAAACAATAAATAAATAAATATATTTTTAATTTCTTTATCTAATTATAGAAATATTTAATTTAGAATTGTTATTGTTCTTAATAAAATATAAAAATTAGAAAATGAAACTACGATTAAAAAATCTCCGGGAATTTTCTAATATTATTTTAACTACTACTTTTGTATTTCCATTATAGTAGATTAAAATTATTTATTTATAACTATAAAATTTTTTATAGCTATAAATAAAAATAAATTAATTTTTTAAGTGGAATTCATTGTAAAATTAAAAATGAAATTTTTAATTTTTATTTTCTTTATTTTTGAAAATTACCTTTTAATATTTGCTCAGATGGATGGTAAGAAATTTAAAAAAAATTTTTAAGATTAAAGGATTTATTTATTTCAAACTAAAATATTGTTAATACATAATAGATTAAGGTTTTAACTAAAAACAATGTTTAAATTGTAATTTGTAATATTAATATATAACCCTCATAATACTGATTATTAGCACAATTCTGTTTGGAATTAACAAATTAAATATTTTTATAGCAAATTATTATATTCAGGCATGAATAGTATGATGAATGGACAAAATGGAGGTATTTTATTTCTTGTTACTAAATTCTAATTAAGCAATTCATATATTTTAAATTTCTTGATAAATGATAAAATTAATAATAATTTAAAAGGTATGGGATCACAAATGAATAGAGGGCCAAAGAAAATAATTCCTGGAGATGATGATGAAGGCGAAATATATCCGGGATTTTCTCTTGATAATATTTTAAATGGCGGAACTGGAGGTACTGGAAGAAGTATGTCCCCTGGCCGTTCTAATTTTAATAATAATATGGGCGGAGGTGGAAGTGGATATTATGGTAATTAATTTATCTTTTTCAGTACTCTTAAACAATTTAAAGGTATGGGTAATCAAATGTCAGGAGGAATGGGGCCAATGAATCCAGGCATGGGAGGAGGTACATATATCTACTAAATAAAACCGAAAATTAATTTATTTTGAGGAATGGAAATGGGTGGAGGAATGGGTAGCAGTCAAGGCTCAATGATGAACCTTGGGATGATGCCTGGGGGTATGATGGATACTGGGGATGTTTTGGGTGGATATGGTTCTAGTAATATAAATTTTGATTTTAAAATATCAATTTACAAAATTAAAATTTATTTTAGATTATGGTTCTGAAAAAAGACTAGATGTTCTTGAAATGGGACCAAATGATAATTTCAAGCCACAACGACAATCACAATCAAATATGAGACAAATGGGTTAGTCTTGCTTAATCAAAAGAATTAAAAAAAACTATTTATAGCACAACCACAAGATTCTATGCCACGAATATCAATACCTCCATATTCTGCCGAAGGGGATGACGATAAGGAAGTAAAACCAATAATTAGACCATTAAAACGTTAATTTAAATTTTAAGTTTTAATTTATTTAAATAATTGTAAAAAAATTTAAAAATAAAAAAACTAAATGACGAATTACAATTTAAATTGTCTTGTATCATAAAAGTAAAGAGAGCAAAGAATTATCAATTACAAATTAGATATTAAACTACTTAGATATTAAATCAAATAAATTTTCTATAAAATGTAGGCCTTATTAATTTAATTAGTAATCTATCAAAATTAATATCAAAATTAAATGCTACAACTCCACTGCCTCTCTAAATCCCTTTAACCCAATATATCCCTATTCCATTTAAATCCACCGATATCTCAATTTATCCCGTCAACTCCCCTTATATCACAATATCCCTTCAAATGTTCCGGTATTGGCTCTTGTCCAGTATATGCGTCCCATCAACAAAAAATTGAATATTTCTTGGTGTTGCAAAGTAGGGGTATGGTTCCAAAGCATTTCTTCATGTTCGGGATCTACGTCCACTGGGTCTGGGACCGTTCCTTACCCTATCCTTCGAAATTTCTGAAAGTTATAGCCAATTTTTAAAAATTTCAGAAAAACGATTTTAACTTTCAGAAATTTCGAGGTATAGGGTAAGGAACGGTCCCAGACCCAGTGGACGCAGATCCCGAACATGAAGAAATGCTTTGGAACCATACCCCTACTTTGCAACACCAAGAAATATCCAATTTTTTGTTGATGGGACGCATATATTTTCATGGGACGCATAAACTGGACAAGAGCCCCGGTATTTAGGGTTAAGCATTGTTAAATCACTCAATCTTCGATAAATTTCTATTTAAAATTAAAAAATTTCAGTAAAAAGTTTAAATTTAGTAAATCTGATATTATAAATGTTTTAATTTCGATCAAAATTAGAACCTATTTAGTCAAAATTTGGACCTATTTTGACCTTTTTAAACCTATTTCGGACCTATTTTGAAAATTTTTTGGACCTAAAAAATACGCTCTACTAATTACAGAAAACTACTTATTTTTTAATTATTAATTTTGCCCTTATTTATATATTTTCATAATTTAGAGGATTGTTTTTCTATTAAAAATTTTTTAAATTGTTATTTCAGTTCAATTTTAACAAAAATATTTTTACAATCAAAGTTAATTTAGAAAAAAATATTTTTTTCAATTTATTTTAATAAAAACCACTCCCTATGTGCGTCAATCGTTTGAATTATAAATATAAAAATACACAAAATTTGTCTCTTTTAATTATTCAAAAAAATTTTTTTTAATTTTTTTCTACTCAATCTAATAATTAATTTACTATATTATGGCCATTCAAGTGTAAATAAACGTAGAAACCCAAATTAGAAGAAAAAACTGTCCTTTTGAATTTTTAAACGTTTAAATTGTTTTAAAACAGAACATTTTAAAATGTGACTTTTTATAAATAGAAAAAAGTGATTTATTACTTTTTTTAGAGAATTAAAATATTTTTTTTTATTTGGCAAAACATAGAGTTTAAATTTTGAAATTTTTATTCTTCTTAAAAATGTTTTTAATTTTAATTTATTTGGTTAAAATATATTTTAGATTTTTTTACCCCTTTAAACTTGAAAAACTTCTCGATTCTTTCTGGAAAAATTTTAAAAAAAAGTTTATCTATTCGGTATGTTTGAAAACTTAAATTTATTTGTTAGTGTAATATCCTAGTCTCTTTTCCTAAATGCTCTAATTCCTTCCCTCGTCTCAAATTGTGAATTTTGCAGCTTTAAATTATTTTTAAAATGTCTAAAAATAATTTGAAAAATAAAATCCTTTTATCAAAGTTTTGGGTATTTTTATTGTTTTAATTATTAAAGCTTTCTCTAAATTCTCAATTGAATCATGAGTTTAATTTGCACAAATGTTCTTTTTCCAACCTCCACACATTTCCAACTTTCCAAATTTAGAAAAATCAATTGAAGCAAACGGATATTTTTACTTTACACTTAATTAGGTTTAATTAACTTTTAATTTTTTTTAATTTATCCTCGTGATTATTCTTAAATTACCTCACACAACATTTAAAATATTTAAAAATAAACATTCTTCTTTCTGCAGAATCATTTAGCATCCCTGTTAACCCTGATTCAAGCCTAGACCTCCCTCGAAGGTTTTGTTTCTAACCTAATTATAAAGACAGTCTATAATGATATGAATTCCATTTTTGGAGGTTGAAGTGATCCGATTTCTCAAAGAAACTTAAAAGAGAAATTTCTATAACCCGAAAATTAAATTAAAATTTATTATAAAATGGCGCTCATAACAAATTTACATAATTAAATTTTTTGGAGACATCTAAGGCTAAAATCTAGTAATGTTGAAATGTTTACTAAAATAATTTTAATCAAATTTAATTAAAAATTTAGAATTAAAATAATTAAAAATGTCAAATTTAAATCAACATCAAAATGATTTTGTCAGTTACCACGTCCCTATTCCCACCCATGTATATACAACAACTGGAAGAAAACAAAGTATTAATCAACAAGGAGACTGGACAGCCTGCGAAACTTCAAGTATAAAATCTGGAAAAAGAACTTGCTGGGATAAAATTAAACTTGCTTTCTATATTGGAATTATAGTCTTTCGTAAGAATTTGTAATTAAAAAATTAATTTTAATTTAAATCTCTTACATAGTATTTCCCCAAATTTTTACATTATCCTTTAGAGAGATAATAATAAAAAATAAAAAAATTTTTCAGTTATTCTTCTGATTCTTTTCATTTTTATTTGCTTTGTTGTGATGCTATTTAGTGATGAACGTCCATGGCGACGCAAACTATTCCATAGCGGGCATTCCTCATCGGGTTCGGCTATGTCGACTGGAGAGTCTTCAACAGACTAAAATGAAAGATTTGGATTCATTTTGTGATAAGATAATTTTTATTAAACAATTTTTTGATTAATAAAATTTATGAGTTACAACTAATTTAAATATACGCAATTAAAAACTAATAATAATGAGACCTGGGTATCTAAGAAATAAACAACAGTTGATAGAGAAATAAAAATATCTATCAAATTTAACAAATGATAGATTTTGGATAACATTCTTTCTATGTTCATATTGATATCACATTCTTGGCAATTCATTTCAACCTTCAATAATTAAAAACCTAGTATTCAATAACTAGTAATCGGGAATCTTCTTCGATTCAATATCAAAAGTTTGATCGAACAGTGCGATCCAGAATTTTTCTTCTGAGGTATTATGGCGGGCAGGTAAATCGACAATTGAACATATACCATTTACCTCTACTACCTATGTAAATTACTTAAAGTGATTAAGTATTTAGATGATAAAGTGCAACTACCGATATTTATTTGTTACTTTTAATTCCTTCCTCATTTCTAAAAATAAAATAACAAAAGAATTCTTTTTTAAACAAAAATAAAATAAATCTTTGTACATTTCTCGAAGAAGTGAGTCTTGTTAATCCGATTATCATTTCCTACGGCCACTTGCGATTAAATTAATAAATGTAACTGATCTAGTTTATTATTTCAACAAAATTAATTTAATTTTATATTAAATATTTTGTCTAGAAAATAAAATTATAATCATATGTATAAGGAACGTTTATTGTTTTTTTGATAAATGAATATAAACTTATTCTGTTTTAAATGGAGAAATTCTGGCTTCTTGGCCTTTCAAAAATTTAAAAATTTTGTCTGTAGTGCTAACCACATAATAAATACTCCTCCTAAAAATAATATCACGTTTTAATTGCAGCTTTAATTCTAATAATAATTTTAATTTTAGGGACTTAAATTTAAAAAAAACTTTAAAAAATTAAAATTTTATTTACATTTAATCTGATTATTTAGAAATGAAGAATGTTACTTTAATAAGTTTACTACTTTTAATAATTCAACAGATTGATAGAAAATCTTTTCTAAATGGTCAGAAACATTTATTATAATTTTTTAATATTATATTTTAGCATTTTTTATTCCGACACATGTTCACTTTTTTCAATTTCTAAATCCACAGCAACAAACACAGAATCAGTTATCTCAACAAAATTTTAATAACGAAGAGAGGAGTTTCCTTGTTAAGGCTATACCTTATGAAATTAAGCAAAGTTTGGATGATGAAATTAAAGTACTTGAATATTTTTAATTTTAATTACAAAAAAATAGTAAAATGAAAATAATATGGAAATATTTTTAATACCCCCTAAAATGCCCTACATACTTTAATAATAGTACAAAATAAGCTAATTTAAATAACAATGGTTATTTAATTAATTTATATTAATATTAAATTAAGGAATCATCATCAAATAAAGATTTTACCTTCAAAAATGAGAATAAGAAAGATCAACACAAACAATTAAAAAATTCTTTGGACTTTGAATATAAAAATGAAAAATTAGACGAAAATGAATATTATTATACTCCTCCAACTTTGTCACCTCAAAAGTCAACAAGTTTTAAAAATACTAAGGATATAAATACTGACAGTAGGATAATTAATTCATTAAAAATTATTTTAATAAAATTTATTCAAAAAATATAGCTCAGATAAAATAACTAATATTCTAAAAACTAATAAATAAAGACCGGGCTGAAAGGGTCGTACAAATTTAAATTATTTTGTAGCTTTTTAAAAATAAATTACTAAAAGGCGTAGTTCTTCGAGATTTATGTCAGCTACCCAATTTAAGAAGATCAGCAGAAGAGGAGAATTCATTTATTGAATGTGAACAGACAAAAGAAATGCCGAAAGAATTGGGAAGGTTTTTTAATAAATAATTATTTAAATAATTATTTAAAAATTAAGAAATGATATTGGAATATGGAAAATAAAAAAATGTCCTTCCAAAACAGTTTTTGTGTCTTCTGCTCAAATATGTTTACCAGATAAGAGAAGTCGACTTAGAAAAATTATTGGGTCAAAATTTTTGCAATCCTCGTCGAAAGAGGAAAAGCCTTTATATGATGGACAAAAGGCAATATTTTATTAAAATTTTATTTTGGAATGGGGACGCTAATTAATTAATAGAATTCTCATATCGGCTAAAACTTTTATCCGTTTCAACACCTCTCGAAATATTTAAAATGTGTTACCTAATTTTCTATTCTCATATTTGATTTAAGTAAACTTTACATAAAAAAGTAAAGATCTTTTACCATTAATTACAGGGAATACATAATAGCGTATTAAACAGAAAATAATAACAATCATTTTTACTAAAAGTTTTAGTTACTTACAATTCGGCATAGAACAGAAAATTGTTCTTCTACGGAAGAATTAAATAAGCCTCTTGCTGATTGTGATTTCCTCGATCATTACCCGTTATGTGAAAATGTTGAGAATAAACATTGTTATTATTCACAAAGAAGTATTCCAAATAATTATGATCGAGTGTTAACAAGTTGTATTTGCATTTGTGTTGAGGTGATTTTTTATAGAGAACGGGGGGGGGGAGTTTTGTCTATGTAGTGGGTGGAGGTTTTTTTGGAGCCTTGAGTTGTTTTTTGATAAAAAAACAAATAGTAAATATATTCTAATAAAATAATTTTTTTTAAAAGAATAAATCCCCACAACAATATTCCCCAACATACAATTACAACTACAATAATAACAATCCTTATTTATCTTCACAACAACAAAATCCATTTAATAATTATTTAAATTCCAAACAAATCCCATCCTACACAAATTATAACAACAAATGTGGATGTGGTCGATATCTTCGCATTGATGTTTATTTGCCACAGCCAACTATGAGTAAATGACTGATTTAAATAAAAATATATAAATTTAGAAAAGTACAAATATGTAAAATTTTATATTTTAATTTTTTCATAAAATATTTTTTAAAAAATTGTTAATTATTATTTTCTAAATAAATTTTGATATGACTTTGAATTTAAATATAAATTTTAAATTTAATTATTCAATTCGTGTTGACATTTAAAAAATCCAAAATTGTCTACTTTATTATTTAAAATTAATCTTTATTCTCCATTTAAAACTCACTTAAATTTAAATATAATGACAAACTATAAAATATTTGCGTGCGAATATTTTTGGAATTTTCACATATTTTTTTATATCTGGAACATTCTTTTTTTAATTTCTCAGAATTTATTTAAAATAATTTTTAGTAAAAAACAATTTTTTGTTAGAAAAATCTTTTTGAAATTTTTTATTTCTTTTGATTTTCAAATATTTGTAAATGTGTTAGTAATAATTTTTTGAAATTATTTAATGTCTCTTAATAAAATAAATATAAAATATTTTATAAAAAACTTAAGAATTGTCTAAACTAAAATTTAGACCTAAAAATATTAACACTAAAGAATCAAAATTGTTTAAAACTCGATCGAGAGATAAAAATTTGTATTTTCCTTTCCTTAATTTAAATAAGTAGTATTTAATATTTCTACTTCCAACATTTACATAAAGTTTTTTTTTAATTAATTCATAGCAGAGACAAGATTCGAGCTAAATTCGAAACATCACGAGAAATCACGATTTTTCTAAGGGATTATTAAATGTTATAGTATATTGAATGTGATATATCAAAATCGTGTCCGAACTCTATCTAAAAAATTACAATTTTTATTTCAATTTTTTTAACAAATAAGATTGTCACGACATATTTCAATTCTAAAAATTTATTCCAAGAAAACTACAAAATATTCCAAGTTTTTGTTTCTTCTTTGAATTTATTTAAATATAAAATATTAAACTTATTTAAACAAAGCTTCATTGTTTCACATTATTTTATTTTTATAAAATTATTTAAAAAATTTTTCCTTTTAATTTAGCTAGGTGGAGTAGAAGAAACTTTTTTATCCAAATAAAAATGAAAGGATTAATTTAAAGAAAGTCTAGCCAAATATTTTTTAATAATTAATTTAAGATTTAATTTTTGAAACTTTAATCTCTTTTTAAAATAATATGAAATTTTTGGAGATTGGAATGAACATTTACTTAATTTTGTGAATATTTTTAATTCCAAAATATGTTTGAGATAGAGACTAGCAAAACGAACTTCCGGGATCATTTTCGTTCTTAACCAATGCCGGGACGGGCTCCCGTTGAATAAATCCCGAAAAATCCCGGATCCCGAAAGAGCCCGAAACTCAAAAAATCCGGGATTTTGGGATCGCGATCCAGTAAATATCTTTACCTCGCGGTTTTCTGTTATCGTGATCAGTATGTTAACTGTTAATTATTTAATAGTTATTTCTAACTATTAACTATTTCAAACTTTAAAGCCTTTTTACAAATAATTAATCCAAACCTTCTAAATGATATCATTTTTATAAGCATCAAAAAACGTTAAAACATTTTAATTTATTAGCAAGCTACTTACATTGTTTTTTCAAAATATTTTTTTATTTAAATATAAATACTCTCATACAATTTTTGCATTATTTTGTAAAGTTTTTTAAAATTAGTTTAGAGGTAAATTTATTATTAAAAAAATTTTTTTTCTAAAACTTAAAATGTCGACATTTTTAAAGAAATATATTTTTTTATATTATAATTTTAATAAATTATTTTTTATTTAAAAATTTTTTAAAAAAATAATAATATATGCAATATATGTCTATTTGTAGAAAATTATATTTGAAAAAATTTTTAGCTTTATAATTTATTTTCTAAAAATTGTCGTATTTGTTTTCTTTAAATGTTTATTTGAAAATCTTAAGGAATAAAAAAAATAAATTATTTAATAAATTAATTTTAAATATTAAAAAAAATTTCCTTTAGATTATAATTTGAGATTTAATTAATGATTCGAGAGATAAACCAAGCCAGTGCAATTTCTGCATTTTCAATTGGCGTTATTTTTAATTCTTTATTAATTTGGCTAATTCTTCGAAAAAGTCCAAAAGAAATGCGCGTTTTTAGCCATATTTTAATTCAGACATGTACTGCAGATTTAACTATGTTAACAATTAATTTACTTACACAACCGGTTTGTCTTTGTTTATAAAAATTTGGGTACGAATTTTATAGCCGTTTAAATCTCATAATTGTCGGATACCCGTGCCGATAATGAATATTCAAAAATATTTTTACAATATTTTTATTTCAATAAATTAAAAAAATTTTTTTCGAAGCACTTCCAATTATTGTTATTTATTATGTTCTTTACTAGATCTACACATCTGATAACGGTGTAAGCATTGTTGTACTCAACGGTCTTCTAAGACATATTGAATGGATTCCACAAAATTTAATTCTTTTTGTTTGGGATAATTGTTTCTTCTTTTCTTTTTTTGGATTTACTTCACAATTTATTTATCGTTATTTGATTTTAAATAAGTAAATCAATAATTTTAAATAATAATATAGACAATATATGACTTTTGTTTTATTTTTCGGTTTTTTGTGTAGTGTATTTATTTACCTAGGGTAGTTCTTCGGTTTTGGACAGGCTTATTAAGTGCATGCAATCGGGAATTTTAAAGAATGAAAAATTTCGATTCTTATTTTAATTGAAAGCCTAATTTCGAGTATTACAAATAGACTTTCAATCATAGTTCTGGTAAATTTTCTGTCTTAAATTTTTCACCCGTTAAAGAACTTTTGTTTTGGTCTGTTTCCCTCACTCTTTCCCAAAATAAAATTCTCTCTTAACAATATCTAAATATATTTTTATTTTTGAATTTAGAAATATGAATATAAGTTCAAAAGAATATTTTATTGCCCTTTTTTGTACAATTTTTACGATGGATTTTATTCTTGCCACACTTTTATATTATGCTGGCTATCCTGATGCTGATCACAGAATTTGTTGTTCAAGCAATGTCACTTTGCAGTTATTGGATTGGGATGGAAATAATGATAATCCGATTTGGATTGCTCAAAGAGCTGTAAATTAATTATTTTATTTTACTTATTATTGATATTTATCCTTAATTTTTTAAATTAAAATTAAAACGTTAATTAGACTCATTTACAGACAAATACATATATTTTTATTCTAATCAAAATATTTATTTTTTTATCCTCAAAATTTTAATTTTAAGGGTGACTATTATAGTTATGTTTGGCTTATTGTCACGATATGTATAACCCTAGCCTACACAATTATTTTTATTTGTACTTATGTAATGCGTAAATTTGTTAAAAAGAATTTTAATTCAAATTCAAATAAACTTGGAGAGATTAATCAACAATTAACTTTAAATATGTTTATTCAAGTTAATCTTAAATTATTAAATTTATTTTTAAAAATTTCCTTTTTTCCTAGTCATTATTACCCCTTCTTGCAATTATTCCAGTTTGGTTTACTTTAATCTTTTCAACTTTTAATACAAAACTTATTGGAAATTCTAAAGACACAACGCTAATTATTTTTGTAAGGAAAATTAATTTATTTTTTATTCAAAAAAATGTTCAAATTTCAGATGATGTTAATTCGTTTACCAATTCATTGGATAGCTGTTCTCAATCCTTTAGTTACCGTTTTAACTGTTAAACATTACAAAAATGTTATTCGATCAGTTCTTCTCAATAACCAATCTATAAATTCAACTTCCCAAAATACACAAAATGTTATTATTGTTAATAAAATGAATAGACAATTAAATAATAACAATAGCTCTACTAGAATTGATAATAATAGAGCTTTAAGTATTGTTAATATTCAACATCCTCAAGCAGTATTACAAAATTGAAGAAAGATTAAAAGATTGTAAATATTATTTTTGTAAATATATTGTGTTAAATTGTTCGTAGATTTTTTTGTAAATAAGGAATATTTTGAGTTTTCTGATAAATTGATAGATTTAAATATAAAATTTAAATAAATTTATGCACAAACAATAACAATATAAAATAAATTATAGAAATTGAAATAACTATGATTATTTACATTTTTCTTTTGTTTATTTTTCATTTATAACAATTTATAATAACTTCTTTTCTAACATTTAATATAAGTTATTGTTGCATCTAAAGTTAATTAAATATTAATTAATCCTTTAACACCTTAATTAACCTTTAGCAACACCAACAATTCCACCTTTCGGCTCGAGATAATTAAAAGCGTCAGTAGACAAATCTACATGATCTATTGCACATTCTGGGCATTTATTGTTTGTTGGAATTGTTAAACTGTTAAAATTGAAATTAAATTTCAAGGATTCTAGATAAAATTAAACGTTTTAGCAGCCGAACACCCAACACATTTATAGGTTATTTTAACACATTTACTCATACAAATTGGGTCGTTAAGTACATAACGCTTGTCTTTAAAACATGATTCGACCCATTGTCCACCGGGGTTGAATAGAGAGCCTGAAGCAGCAGCAGAGAATTTTGGCTAAATTGTTGGATGTTTTGGGATGATTTTTAGAGAAATAATTACTATATAAATTTTTGTGACAAAACTATCAAATTTTGACTTTTTATTTCCCTAACAACATTAATAAATATTTTTTTAAAAAATATTTTTTTTAATTACCCTTTTTTTTTACCCTTTTTTTTACCCTTTTAATTACCCTAGCAACATTAATAAATATTTTTTTTAAAAAAATATTTTTTTTAATTACCCTAGCAACATTAATAAATATTATAAAGAATATTAAAAGCAAATTAAATTCCATTTTTTGTTAAATTATATTTTAATTATAAATGTTTAAATAATTTTTAATTTAATTTAATTAAACATTCGACTATATTTATATATTAAATAATATCCACTTTAATATTTGTTCAGAATTACAATTAAAATAATTATTCCAAAATTTAAAGTCTAACTAATTATTTAGACATTAAACAATGAAAAGTACTTTTAAATTATCAAATTTATATGTTAAAAATTTATGTATTGTCTTGAGAGTTTGTGGATATAGATTTTATACATAATTTATTTAAGTTTATAACAGACCAAGTTGAGGAGGCTGACTTTAAATTTTTTAATAAAAACTTAGAGAGTACAAAATTATGCTTAATTAAATTTTAACAGTTTAATTTTCAGATTACATATTGGGGTTTTTATTGAGTATTTTAATTTAATTTTTTAAAAATATGTAAAACTTACATAGGAAAATAGTTTTACTAATCGTCAGTTTTCCTAGGGTTTCTTTTCATTTTTCGTTTAGTGATATCTTGAATTTATTTTTTTGTCTCGATTTAATTGTGCGGTTCAGATAATACATACATAATTAAAAGAGGTGTGTGCCGATATACATCCATATCATATCAAAATTATTTTATTTAATCTAATTCATTTTTATATTTAATGTACTAATTATATTCTACAATAGTTAAAATAGAAAAGGAAGAATTTTATAATTAAAGCTTTTAATTTTAAAGAAATTGAAAAGAAGTTTAATCATCACTAAAATTCTAGCAATTAATGTAGGTGATTGTTGCATCTAAAATAAATATTTTTAATTCCCTCTCTATAATTTTATTTAAATTTACCCTTAGCAATACCAACAGTCCCTCCCTGAGGTTCAAGCCATTTAAACGCGTCAGTAGACAAATCTACATGATTTGCTGCACATTCGGGGCATTTATTGTTTATTGGAACTGTTAAACTGTTAAAATCGAAAAGAGTTTTTAAGGATTTTAGATAAAATTAAACGTTTTAGCAGCCGAACACCCAACACATTTATAGGTTATTTTAACACATTTACTCATACAAATTGGGTCGTTAAGCAGGTAACGCTTATCTGGCAGACAAGAAGGAACCCATTGAGCAGCGTTGTTGAAAAGAGAACCTGACGCAGCTGCCGACATTGTTGGCTAAATTTTAATTAAACTACTCTTATCTATTTAGTTAATTTAATATTCGGGATAAGTGTTTAGCATATATCTACTGATTTTGAGCTAAATATAAAAACCCAGTCTGAATCATAATCTAATCCGAAAAACACAAATCCTTTTAAGAATATTCAGAGAAAATATCAAAAATTTAAATGGAGTCCATTTAAAATGAAATAAATAAATTACAGCATCAATATCCAATCCACAGGCCCCACGTCCACCAATTCCATATAATGTAAATATACCTCCATTAATTGGTTTATTAAGGTTTGAAGTAATTGGGCCAGAAGCTTTTGACGGATTAAGACAAGTATCTTTTGTGGTATATTTTGGGGAAACTACTAAATTGTTTTGGGCTTTAATGAGTAAAATAAAGGTAAAGAAAAGGAAAATATTTAAAAATAAAGTTTTGCCTTCCATTTTTTAAATTTAAATATCTTTTTGATATTTTTAATTGAATATATTTAATGATAATATTCCTGTATTTATACTAATAAATACCTGGCTTTAAATCAAAAAAATAATTTAAGTACATATTTGTTGAACTTTTTTAAATAAAAAACAATTGCTTTGTTATTTTTAAAATTTAAAGTTTTTTTGATTATTTTATTATTATATTAAAGTACTGAAATAAGGTGAATAAACCAATGAATTTAAGTACATATTTCTCTAATTCATTCTTGAATATTTTCATTTAAATTATTTTGGTGTTCTAAATTCAACCAATTTAGTTTATTAGACGCGGAAAACTTTTAGTGAATGTATTTTAAGTAATATGTAATCAATAGGGATGGGATTTATATGGATTTCCATATTTTTTCCTGGCCTAGATGGGTCGTGAAACGCACGAAAAACGTTGTTTTAGCATATGTTGATAAGACTGATAATGAGTTATCAATCCATATTTTCCATATTTTATCCATATTTGTGATTTTTTGTAAAATTTTGCCAAAAATTGGTAAAAATTTTAAAATTTTGGAATTTTTTTGTCAAAAATTAAAATAAATTTTTGAAAAAATCCTGATCAACTATTACTAAAATTATTTCCATGGGAAAAACTTTAAATGTAACTTTAATTAAAAAAACTTTTAAAAAACACTTTAAGTAAATGAACAAAATCAAATTATTTATATGTGAAAATTCATTTTTCCGTTAAAAATTTTCATTTTTTCGGTCATATTTTGGATGTTTAGTTCATATTATATGTCCATATTTTTCGATTGATAGTCCATTTAAATCCCATCCCTAGTAATCAACACACTCAAAAGTATGGAAAGTTAAGTGTTTGAAATTTAAAATAATTATGTCGTCGGCTGGCAGTAACACCACACAGTAGATTAGAGTTGGTTCTCCAAAATACCGAAGGTCCCCCATATCTTTCTTGTCAACCAGTAATTTAATATCCCTATGTTATTTACGAAAATTTTTATCACAATTAAAATCAATATGATTAATAAATTTTAAACTAAACTACAAAAAGTGAATAAATAACAATTTAATTTAGAAAGAAAGAATTTTAAATTAAAAATTTTAAAAGTATAATTTTAAAGAAATGATTAAAAAATAAAGAAAATTGTCCTTAATTAACATTCATTTTTTATGATTGAAATTTTCATCAAAATTCTCATCAATTTCTCATCAAAATTATCTTTATTCTCTCCTCAATTATTTTATTTTTTTAATTCCTCACCCTCATCACCATTTATATATTCACCATATCCCATCAAAGGTTCCAAATAACCTAAAATTATTTGAGACCTCTTCTCCGATTCAAAGTTAATTATTTTCATTTCCCCGTCTTCAAAATCTTTATTTTTAAAAGTTTCAATAATATTTAAATATAATCCATATTTAAACCCTTCCAAAATTTCTTTTTCATCATTTTTAATATTTCCAAAAAATTTAAATAAACATTTAAATTTATTATCTTCATTAATTTCGACAAAAAATTTAAATAATTTATCTTCAGATTTTTGAGATAAATTAATAAAATATTCCCCTTTATTTTCAAATTTAATACAGATCTCAATATGAGAATATTCTTTTAAATTTTTATTTTGTTTGCCAGTCAAAGATGTTTTCTCCAAATTTTCGATTAAATTATTTTCTGATTTTTGAGGTCCCTCAATTTTCAAAAACAAAATTAATTTAATTAATTGGAATTTTTTGTAATTAAAACAATAAAGGGTCTCTACTCCATCAATAATTACTTTCATATATTTATAATTATTGGTTTGAGAAAATAAATTGTTTTCTGTTAAATTGTTTGTATTCACATCAATTTTGGATTTAAATGTTGGGCGAAGTTCTGCAAGCATCTAAACATTTTTAAAAATTAAATATTGTTTATGTACTAAAATAAATTTGAAAATATTTTTTTAACTTTATTTTACTTATTTTCGGGAATGAAATATTTAAGAAAAAATAAAGGTACCTGTAGTAAAATAAATGTACTGGTACCTCAGTAGTATAGAACCGTGCCAAACACTAACTATAATAACTAGGGACCGGGTTTTTAAGTTATAACCTATTTTTTCTGCGAAATAGTTATGATGAATTCAGCTCAAATCCGTTGTTATTACTCAAAAATATTTAGTTTACGCGAAGTTATTATCACCTATACAAACCTATTTTGTTGTTTTGCAACCTAAAATAAGAACCCCTTCGAAACCACTTCAACTTACATTGTTGGAATTTAATTTAAAAAATTAATTAAAATAATTTCAAAACTATAACAATAAATACTTACATAATTATAAAAATCCTTCCCTTCACTTTTAAATAAACAAATATTAAATCCAAATTTAATATTATCACTCATTATTCTTTTAAATAATTTATGTTTTCTACCTCTTTTTAATTCAATTCCCTTTTCAAAATAATATTTTGTTATTGCCCCGAAATTACAAGATTCGTTTAAATTCAAATTTAAATAAAGAGAAAAATTGTAGTGAAGGCTAGAATCAAGTTCAACTAATATTTCCAATTTGTTTTCGACCTCACCAATTTTTTCAAGATTAATTTTTAAAATTTTAATTAAAGGACTTCCATTTATTGTAAAATTTCTTTTTTTATATTTTAATTGAATATTTGAAAAAACAAAGTAAAATAAAAGAAATGAAATTTGGGCAAAAAAGATTATTTTAAACATTTCTTAGTTATTTATTAAGGAAATGGGATAAATTCTAAACAATTAGAGGAAAGTAGTTATTTGACAAAAAAAATTAAATGATAATTTTTAATTTAAATTATCGTTTTTATATTGCATTTATTGCTTGTACTTTTAACACAAAGTAAATACAGTCTGTTGATCAAAATTATCTACTATTAAAAAAATTTTTTCACACACGTGGAAATCAGGAAAAAAGAATATAATAAATAAATAAATATTTCTTAATTTATTATTTAATTTTTGAAATATTTTTTGTTTAAAAGGGTTTTTTTGTAGAAGATTTAGAAAATCTTCAAAAATAGAAAAACAAAATGATTTCCATATATTTACTTGGAATTAACTTAAAATTTATATTTTTAAATATTTTCCTTAAAATTAAAATTAAAAATTATTTTTTTTATGTTTTAGAGAAAGTAAAAATTTTAATTAAATTAGACATCAAAAATGTTGTGATGAAATTAATGAATTATTTAATGTGTTGTTGATTAAGTACATATATTACATCATTTTAAAAGTACAATTAATGATTAATAAAACGATTGCTTGTATATTTAGAAATAAAATGTGATTTAAGCATAAAAAAAGAAAATTTTTAAATATTTTTGTGTTTTTTGATCAGCTAAAGTATATTTCTATAAAGTTATTGAGCACGAATAAAAACACAAAACTCAAAAAATTTAATCAACGTCTTGCCAGCCTGAACATCAAGTATGTGTTTTTGTAAAAAAACACAATTTGTGACTCAAAATAAATTTAATATACTCAACTAATTTTAAATTAGACAATTCCCCCAAATTAATTTAAAAATATTTTTATTTTTGCTTAAATGTTTTTAATTTAAATTTTCCTTTATTTTATTTTTAAATGTTTGCATAGCTTTTTAATTATTATAAATTCACGAAGAAACTAAAATTTATTTTTTAATTTAAATTTAGCTTTTCATTTAGTTAATTGATTAGAAAAATAAATTTTAAATTTATATTTATTTAATTAATAATTTATTTAATGGGAAGGGGAAAACAATTTTTTGTGGAAATTTTAAAATAAAAATACCTACCATAAATGCTCTAATAATTACATGGATAATTATTTTTTCGACCTCTCGCTGAAGAGTTAATAGAGCGCGGGTAATTATTTGAGAGAGCGTAATTGATAGTGCATTTAAGGTGCACTATCAATTACCTTTTATTTTTAAAAATTTCTTTCAAGACAATTACAATCCTCTAATAATTCCTCTAATATTTTCAAAAATATTTTATACTTTATTTATGTTAATTGTTGTAAATTATTTTATATTAATATTTAATACAAATTTATTAATTTTGGAATCATTTGCTGAATTAGCTCGTAGGCGATATTAAAATTAAAAAAAAATTTTTTTTAATAATTATTAGCTTGTGTCGATGGTGAATGTCCAGAATTGTATGGACCTTGTGAGAATAATTATTGTATATATTTTTAATTAAATAAATAAATATATAAGTATTTTAATTTAAAATAATTTTTAAGGTACTGGAAAGTTAGAGAATGGAGAAACTCCGCCAAAAAATAGTGAAAATCCTGCGTTTAGTGAAAATTCAGGGAACGGCAAAACACCAGAAAATGGAGGAAATTCTCAATCATCTTTAGTTTGCAAAGATATTGGAAAGTAAATAAAAATAATAATTTTTTAAAAATATTTTAATAAATAAAAATATTTAAAAAATTTTAATATTAATTTCAAAAATATTAATTTCAAAAAAATATTAATTTATATTAATTTTAAAATTAATATAAATATTAATTTCAAATTAAAAAATATTAATTAAAAAATATTAATTTCTAAATTAATATTTAAAAAATATTAAAAAAATATTAATTTCAAATTCAAAAAAAATATTTAATTAACATTTAGAGGATGCCAGCTAATCACAAGCTTATATAAAGCGGCAGGTCGTCCTTGTTCTGCTAGCGTTTCACTTATTTGTGCTTCAACTTGTAAAGTATGTAAAACAAACTAAATTTTAATATAATCATTAATTTAAAATTAAATTTACCAATATTTTTTTCAATTTTAAAATTATTTTTATAATTTCTCATTTTTTAAATAAATTTTTATATTCGAATACTTATTAAAAAGTCTAAGAAAAGGGGAATGAGGTCCAGTTAGAAATATTTCAAATATTAGATTGTCTTTCTGTTTCGGCTTTTTTGTTTTTGAAATATTTGCTGAAAATGTTTTATTTTTTGGGTTTACAAAAATTTTAATTTTGTATTACGATTCATAAAATAAAAAAATTCATTTCTGCTCACAATACTTTGGAAACATTATTTTATTGTTCCTTGTTGAAAAATTTGATTGTAGGATGAAAAATATTTTTTAAATGAAGAATAAATAAAAAATTTTTGAAGAATTTATAGGCTCGCGAAAGGCTCATAAACTTTTCATATGTTCACTCCTCTCTCATTAATTCATTTCTTTCCTTTGATTCTTCAAATAAAAACATTTATATTAAAAACAAATCTTCTCTCTATTGTTGTTGAGGCCATTATCCTCTCTGTTGACTTGCTACACAACTTTTCTGCCTCCAGGCTGAAAAATCTCTGAAAAGAATTTTTCTTGTAAATTTTCTTTTATTCAATTCCTTCCAATAAATATCCCTTTCCCAATAAATGAACTAGAAATAATGTAAAGCTAAGGGAGGGGGGAAGGGGGAGTGAATGAAGTTGTCAATTGAAAAATATAATCGAAGCACTCTCTCTATTAATTTATTTATATCCTTCCTATAAAAATTAATATATATCCATTTTCCTCTTTTTTTCGTCACTTATTATTATTTTAATCTTTATTGAATATCTGCACATAAAGTAAGTAAATATATACCTATAATCTATATGTTCCATCAGAACTCAACACCAATTCAATTACATAGTTTTTATATAACTTTTATTTATTTATCTAAACTTTTGCTAAAATAAGTTGATTATATTTTAATTTATCCGTAACACAGATTTTGACAGTTTTACATTATTTGACCATTAAGATATTAATTATCTGTTTGTTCCATATGTATATCTTAACATGTTTTAGCGTTTCTTCAGAAAATAAAAGTTAATAAAATTTGGAAGGGTGATCAACTCGGATATGTCAAATCTTGATCTCGCTAAATAAATTCTTTCTTTTAGAAAAAGGATCAAAATGTTAAAAAAGCCTGATAATTTTCTAAATAATTCTAAAAGGTTGTCTAAAAATTTCCTAGGTCCATATGATCACAATCTTTGTATTTTTTAATGTTTTTTTCTTTGAACTTATTTTAATTACTTCTTAATTTATTTAATTTTATTTATTTCAGCAATTTTTAATTTCTTCTTTTTAATTTTCTGCACTAATTTTCACATTATCTCCATTGTTCGTACTTACATATATCCTTATTTTTATTTTACTAATTTACTCCTTGTTTTCTTTGTCTTTGCCCTGATTTTCGCCTGATTGGCCTGCGCCCTTTATTTTCCCTCTTCCCCTTCCCTCCCCTCCCTCTCCCTCCCTTCCCCTCCCTCCCTTTTATTCTTTTATTATTTTTTCTACTTTTTAATGTAATCCCTTTTTTAACCGGTTTGACCAAACAAAATTGTCAGCCAAATGCCGATCGGTTGGTTTATTTGACTTTTGTCATTAAACAAGAAAAGGACATGGAAAAATACATGAAAGAAAAACGGGAGGAAATAATTATTACAATGGAGAATAAAAAAAGGTTACAAAAAAGAAAAGGATTTTGTTGCTTTAGGGGGCTTTCTGAAGGATTTCTAAATAGAAAATGAAAAGATTTTGTTGTTAAAAGCTTTTGATTTTTTAAAGATGTTTTTATTGTTTAGAGATTATTAATTGAAAACAGGTTTTTGAAATTATTAGAACATTTTTATATTAATAATAGTAAATTTTATAACAATAATTTTATAATATTTATTTAGATAAATACATTATTTCTTATAATCCAAAATAAGTATAACTTCTCTCCTCTATTTTATTTTCATATTTATAACTAGGGTTGCCGTTTTCTAGTCGGGCAGGCGGTCGAGGCATTTTTTCGGGCTTGCTTTTACCCCTTTTGGACCATACAAGTCTTTTTCGTGCTAAAGATCCTAGGCCCGACTAGATCTTTCGTTTGGCTTAATAATCGTTTAACATGCAAAATAACAGGAAATATAGATTATACCTTTTCTATTATCATTTACCTAATCAAAATGTTCAAAAAATTTGTAGTGATTAAGCATTTAACATTCAAATCCATACCCCCCCCTCCCACCACAGTAAAGCACCCTTCCCCTTTCCTACCTGCTAATTTTAAGCTTTTTTTTTATCTTAAATTCACAATCTCGTTCCTCCTTTTTTCACATTACAATATTTTTATTTCCTCGTACTATTTTATCAGATAACTACATATAGGGAATTCCCCCTACCTTTTTTTCTTTGATGGCTCCTATCCAAGTCATGCTTGTTATCCCCGAAAAGTTTACAACAAATATTTTTTAAATGATTAATGACAAAAATAAAAAAGAAATTATTAATTATTTTTGACATATCCAATTCCATTTAAAATAAATGGAACTTGTTAACATGTTTGAAAAAAATAATATTTTTAATGTTAAAAAGTGTTAAGTGAAACCGTTAATTTATTTTTATCTGATCCATCACATCCATTTTAATTTTTTTTATTTTAAATAAAATTAATTATATATTTACCTTGTTTGTATTAAAAGAAGGCTTTTTTTGTGTCTTCTAAAAAATAAATGCTTAAATAAATAAACATTTTTGCTTGTAATTAATGTTTTGTGACACATTTTGTAAAAAATCAAATGGATGATTAAAATATAAAAGTAGCGATATATTTGTTTTATTAATATTTATTTTTTATGAATTTTAATTGCAATCATATTTTCCATTAGCATAGCTTAATCGTAATCGACTTTTGGTTTAGAATTTTGGATTATGTCTTTTCTTTAGGTTTTTTTATTTTCGGTTTTAATTATTGGAAAATTATTTTTCTTAGACGTTTATATTTTTTACTTATCAAAATTTTAATTTTTATTTAAGTTTTATTGGATTTTTTTTTGTTTTTTTCAAAATTATTTTTTTCTTTTATTTTATTATGTACCTCATTTAAATATTATGTAATTTTTTTCTTCATTTTCTCTTTTTTTTAATTTTTTAAACGGATTATTATTTAAATATCAGACATATTTAATCCAGAATTTAATTTTTTTATATTTTTTATATATCCTTTTCTGTTTATTTTTGCAACAACAAAAGAAATAAACAAATACTGGTTATAAATAAATGATTAAATTTATTTAACGTTTATAGGTGATGTTATTGCTTGATTGCTTCACAAAAATATTTTTTTAAAAAATAATTATTTATTTTTATTTTAATCGCTTCCAAGGTCAAAAAATTTATACTAAATAAAAATATTGTTTATTTATTTTTTTTAAATATTTAATAGTCAATTAAAATAAATATAATTCAAAATAAAAATATTTTTTTCCAATTAAAGTAAATTAATTTAAATTGCAACATATATATCCATCCATCCAGTTATCTAGTTAATTTAACTAAATCTAGTTTATTTTCTTATTTTTTTATGGCTACTATCTATTTATCTGTTCCTCCTTTCTTTTACCTAATTTACGTAACAAAACACGAATTAATTTTTTTGTTATTTGCGCTAAGCAATAATTAATGTAAATAATAAAGATTGGTCATTTCCCAATTGCTAATTGAATCTAAAAATTAAAATAAATAAATATAATTGTTATTTTTAATTAATTATTTTTTTAGTTTATTTTATAATTTATTTTAAAAACTTAAATTTCAAATTGAATAACTAAAATTTCTCAAATTTTACAGAAACAAATACGAATTCAAGAAATATATTGAAAAAAATTATTGTCATATAATTATAATTTATTTAGATTTATACTAATTTTTATACAAGATCGTTTTTTGAAAAATTTCTGATTTAAATAAAATATTCAAAATAACCTTTACTTCTTCCGTAGTAAAATATTTTAGCTAAAAATTCTGATTTTTTAATTCTGAAATTTTTTTATTTAGTAAAATTATTCAATTTACTTACTTTTATTTTATTTTCTATATTTATATTTACCTATTTTTAATATCGTTATTTTAGGAAAAAATTTAATTTATTTTTAATAAAATGCGGCACCCAACACTTTTATTTGAACGAGGATTTTATTTACTTGGCTACCAAATTGGTGAATTAATTAATTTTTTTCTTATAATTATGGAAATATTATTAAAAATTATAAAATTTTTTATTAAAAATATTTTTTTAAATAATTTAAAAATCCCTTAGGGTCTTAATAAATAATTTTTAAATTAAAGGAAGAAATTTTCGTCAAATTATTTTTACTATTATTCTCGTAACTATAATAGCCAGCTTTGGACTTTTACGTTTTGAAGAAGTTAATAATGTTAGAACAGAGTATTCGCCTTTAAATGCTCCAAGCAAGATTGAATATAAAATAGCCAAATATTTTCTTAAACAGGTAATTTATTTTTGGATTTTTTTTGAAATTCAGAAATTTTTCTGAAAAATAAGATTCTGTTAGCTTGTAGCAAATTTCAAGGGCCTTAAAATAAGCCAAAAAACAAGATTCTAGAGAAAATCAAAAAACCATCGTTAATCTTTAATCATCAAGCAGAACTAGTAAAAATTATTTTTTTGTCAAATATTCTTTTAGAAATAATTAGTCTATCTAATTTCGATCTCATTTTTATATTTTTGTTTCAATAAAAAATTTTATTTACTTAGAATGGAACATTAGATCCTTGCTATATTATGAGCCGAGCAAGAGATGGGGGTAACCTTTTAAGAACTGAACATCGATGGTTGCTTTATAATTTAACTCGAGCCCTTCAACAAGAGGTTGTTGAAATAATTAGAGAGAAAACTCAAAATTATATCAAAAAATCTACAAATTTAAATTCAATATTTTAAATTATTTTAGATCCATATAGAGAAAAATGGAAGAGTTTATGGGTACCGAAATATTTGTGAACCTTATTGTGAATTGAATACAGCCTTCTTAGCCTTTCTTAAAGTTTATGACCCTGAACAACCTTTAACTTATACTTATCCAGCGGTAGAATTGTTTGGAACTAGAGCTTTTATTGGTAAATAAAAATAAATATTTTGAATATTTCTTTAGAATTTTTACATATAATTCTAAACAAATCTCTTGACGATTATCATCCCTTATCGTTTAAATACCTAAATATGTAAATATACATATTTATTGTCTATCGTTTAAGTTATCCAAACTATGCAAAGAAGTTCACAAATTTTGCGATTCTTGTAAATCATGTGCAGTAATGCCTGTTTACTAGCAGGAACATCTCTTTGGATTATAATAAAATTCTCTTAACTTTTCGGAATATTTTAATTAATTTATAAGATCCAAATTCCTAAATATTAATCATTAAAAATTAAAAAGGCAACAATATATATGGTGTCTCCCTCAAAAATTTTACTGGAACTGAATATGTTAAAAACGAAAAAGCAGAAATTCCAACGCAAGAAGAACAAGCATTACTTTTAGCTTTACAAAGAAAATCTGGAACAAAAAAATCTCCACCAATTAAACTTCTCGAAACATTTAATACAGCTGTAAATTATTTTAAAATTATTATAAAAATTAAAAAAATATTTTTAAGATAATGCCTTTCTTTTTGGTTGCTAATTATGAAGATAAAGATTTGCTTGTTAAATGGCAAAATGGTAGTTGGATTTTTCGGGAAAAATTTTTTTTTAATTTTTTAGCTGCAATTGATCTTTTTGAACATCCCCCTTATTCAAATTTATTAAAAGTATTTTTAATTAAATAAATAAATTTTAATTAAAAAAATAACAGACAGGAATGACTAGTGATTATTTAGTTACACAAGAAGTTAGAAGAATGGGTGCTGAAACTGCGCCTCTTTTAGCTACTTCTGTTGTTTTTATGATTGTAAATTAATTTCTGGATATTTTAGAAAATAATTTTTTAAAGATTTTTGTTGTCTCAACATCTTTTAGAGCTAAAAGAGAAGAAAATCGTTTTATTGAATGTTTTATTGGTTGCTTAGTTCCGCTTTTTGCTATGGTAAATTAAAAATAGGGATCAATCCCCAGGGTCGGTATGGAGAATTGAAGTCCCGTCCCCTTAGCAAAATATTTTCTTTATTAATCGTATCAGTGTCTTTATTGTAAAATTAATTAAATAATTTAAATTTTTATTAGTCGACAGCAATAGGTTTAATGGCAGCCACAGGTTACAAATTTCAGTCAATTATTGTGGCTGCTTTATTTTTGGTTCTTTCTGTTGGTGTTGATGATATTTTTATTTTGGTAGAAAATTTATTTTTAAAATTTATATAATTATCTAATATATACATAGATGCGTGCCTGGCACAGAACAAATAAAATATTTAACAAAAATAATAATTTTGATAATATAAATGGAATAGCTAAAAGAATGGCTTTGTGTTTGGAAGATGCTGGTCCTTCAATAACTATAAGGTGGAGAGAAAAATAGTTTTTAAATTTATTAAATAAGTTAACCCCTCAATTTTACATTCACCCCTCAAAAGATTAATTTTTTTAATTTGGTTGGCCACTGGGAGAGGGAGAATGAATTGCCTAGGCCAACACCAAAATGGATTCTCCCTATTTTAGATACAAATTTCAGTTTCTAGTGTGGAATTAAAATTTAGGATTTTTCCTTATTTTTTTTTTAATTTTTTGCTTATTTAATCAAATAAAAATTAAAATAATTATTTAATTAAAAAGTTCACTTACAAACGTTATTTCATTTGCCATTGGAGCGTTTTCTGATACTCCAGCAGTTCGAACTTTTTGTATTTTTTCGGCCTTGGCAATTACAATTTGTAAATTTAAATTTGTTAAATTATTTTAAAAAATTATTTTAAAAAAGGTTGGCTATATCAATTAGTTTTCCTTTCTTCAATTATTTGTTTTAATGAAAATAGAGAATTAATTAATAAAAGAAGGAGAAGAAAGGAAGAAGAAAATAATAATGACAATAATAATTACTTTATTAGTGGGCAATCTAATAATGTAAGAATATTAAATTAATTTTTTGTTGATGAACAAATAATTTATTTGGGGGAACAAATAATTTATTTATTTTAGGGTAGCACCCCGTCCTCCGAAACCCCGACCCCGACAATATTTTTTGGCATGGCTTCCACGGCAAACGTCGATCCCCGACATACCCAACTCCGAAGGCTCGGGATGCTACCCTAGTTTATTTATTTAAATGCTTATTGTGTAATACATGTTTTTTTATTTCTTTATATTTAAAGTTTTATTCAATTGCTGCATCTGTAACAATCAAAATTCATAATGATGTTATTAAATTTTGGGCTTGGGCTGTAACACAATGGGTAACAAGGTGTGAATATTTTAATTAATTGAGTTTATTTTAATTAATTTTAACATTTTTAAAAATAAGAGTAAAATATTTGTTTTTAAATTATTAAAGCAATTTTTTGTTTAATAGAAATAAACTTTTAATAATAAACTTCAAAACTTTAATTTTTAAAATTAAACATCCTCATTTTTATTTTCTTTTTTCTTTAAAAGAATACTTCTTGCATTATTTATGTGCTGTTATTTTTTCCTTTGCTGGTTTGGTATTCGAAAACTTCAATCAAATATTTCGATAGACAAAATGGCCTTACCAAACTCTTATCTACACGATTTTCAAATGCAATTTGAAATGGCTTTGAGAAATATGCAGCCAATTAGTGTTTTTGTTTTGCATCCCGGGGATATGAGGGATTTACAACAATTATCTAGTTAAACTTTGAAAAATTAGAATAAATAATTGAACCCTGTTAAGATAACTAAGCTTTGCCTCACCGTGTAAAAGAAAATTTAGCCATGTGTTTAAGTATTAATCGTAAAAGTTAACACGGCTCTAGGAAATTAGGAATCCTCCGAAGGAGCTCGAATTGCCTACATATTTTTGGAGAAAATATTTTTTTAAAGGAATTAGACAACTTGTTTGGGATTTTGAACATGCATTAAATAGTTATGGACAAGAATCTACATTCTTCTGGCTTCAACAATATGAAGACTTTCTTCGATTTTATAGCAATGGAAATGATAATTTTGACGATCATGAGGTGACATCTCTAATTTATATCTGGATTCTTGGACTTAAAAAAATTTTTTTAAAAAGATTGATCCATCAGATGAATTTTCTTCTCCTCGTTTCACTTATACAGAAATTCCAGCATTTTTTAAATCTGCAGCATATTTTTATTTAAGTTCTTTTGTTCATTATAATGAAAGTGCTTGCCGTCTAAATAGGCCCGAATGTATTAATTCTTTCTTTTTTGTTACCAATTTTCATCGGGTTATTAAATATCATGAATTAGTGCCCACGGTGAATTTATTTGTGTTTTTAATTCAGTTTAATTAAATAAAGGTTAATGAATGGAGAAGAATAGCTGCCCATTATTCTGATATGCAAGTTTATGCTTATAGTGATCACACTCCTTTTGTTGATCAGGTCAAAAATATTTTAGTTTTACTTGAATAACATCATTTATTTTGAAGACAATTTCAATAGATCAAACAGTTTTGGGAAGTGTAGCAGCTGCTTTATTTTGTACTTGTATTGTTTGCATGTTATTTATACCTTATTTTTTAAGGTTTAAAAATAATTTTAAAATTTATTTTAAAAAATAATTAATTAGTGTAATTGCTGCGGTATTTTCTGTGTTTTCTATTAGTTGGGGCATTTTTGGAATATTATCAATGTGGAATATAGATTTGGATCCGATATCTATGGCCTCACTTTTAATAGTAATTAACTGTGATTAAAAATGAAAAAATATCTTTAAAAAATTCAGGCAATCGGTATCAGTGTAGATTTCACAGCACATATTAGCTACCATTACTATAAAGCACCAGAGGGGGTTTAATAAGTTAAAACTCAAATTTATTTTTATGAAATTTTAGAATCCTCGATTGAGAATGCAACAAGCTTTAACAGTCATTGGTTATCCAATGGTGCAGGTAAAATATACAAAAATATTTATCTTAAATTTGTATTCTAAATTTACTTAAAGGTTGGTGTCTCTACAATTGTTGCCCTTCTCCCTCTCCTTTTTAAGCAGTCATATTTGGCTATGGTTTTTCTTAAGGTAAGTTTTGTGTAATAAAAAATTTCATATTAATTTTAAATCTCTAACCTATTTTTAAAATTTCAATTTATTTTTTTCAAAAGACAATTATTGTTGTCGTTTCATTGGGAATGTTTCATGGTCTTGTTCTTCTTCCAGCTGTATTAACTGCACTTCCATTGCCAAAACAAAAAAATAAAATAAACAAAAATAGCATTAGTGGAAATTCTATATTCACAATAAATACAAAATTGGATGTTGTAAAAGAGAATAATGAAAATATTTTGTCTCAAAAATGGAGAGAATCGAGACGATCTTCTAAATCTAATAGGTCTTGACAAAATTTTAAATATAGGTACTTTTCTGATTCTAAATTTAAGTAATTTCTCTGCTGGTTCTGCTTCTTCCGATGCTGGTTTAGGAAGCAGTGGAGGTGAATCAAGTAAATCTAGTACTCGTTTGGATAGCGATTCTGAAGGAAATCATAAAAGAAACTTCAAAAATAAAATATTGGAAAAATCTTTGGAATTTGAAAGGAAAGGATTTGATGAAATATATGTTGGTTTTTGAAAGTATTTATATTTGGGTGCTTACAAAATAAATATATTAAATAATTCTTTTTTACAATGAGAATATTTAACCCAAAAGTGGTTTTTCTTTTTTTGCTCTATTTACTGTAAGAAACAAAGTTGAGCTGGGGAAATGTAAAACAATTACTACCCATTTTAGTGGAAAAATATAATTCAAATGTGGAAATTTGCTAAAAAACTAATTTAGAATTTTGATTATTTAAAAATAATTTTTTTATTTTTTATCAGAAAGAAGATATAATTAAAAATAGAAGTTGCTCAAATATCTCAGAAACTAGAAATTCAAGCAATTTAATAATTAATGAAATTGCTCTAGTGCATAAAATAACTTTAGGACGTTCTTCTTCTAATAATTTATAGGTAAATAGTAAATTAATTTTTAATTATTTATTCTATTTATTTTCAGCATTTTGTTTCACTTAAATGACGTCAGAAAGAAAACATTTATTTGTATTTACGGGTTGCAATAGTGCCAGTTCTGAATTAAAAATTTTTGGTCTTTCATAATTTCTATTTGAATTAAATTCTGATAAAAAATTTCGAATATTGAAAATCTTTTGAACTCCCCCCCCCCATAAATTTATTTTTATTAAGAAACTAAAAAATTAATATTTCCATTATCCTTTTGAATGTCATAAGGAAATAGAAATTGAGCAAGTCTGGCCAGTGTGTACAAACAAAAAGTACCAAATTGTAAAATTAACTAGCATTTAAACATTTAAGTTGTAAATACTTTACAAATTCCAATTACTTATATGGGCAAAAAGTTTGAAAAAATAAGTTTACAAAATAATTTTTGCCAACCAACATTCCAGATTTTAATAGGTATTTTTTTTATCAAACTCAATAAATCTTTAAAAATTCATCTAAAAGATGGATTAAGATTCCGATTTTTGTATTTATCGCAAATACTGATTTGAGCGTTATTATTTAAAAAATTTATCTCCCAAAATCAAAATATTGTTTAAAATCAAATAAAAGACAGGTAGGTAATAAATTAAATAAAAGAATACAAGAAATCTTATATTTATAAGATCGTATTTAAAGAGATTAAATCAAACAGCTTTTTAATGTTACAACTTTTTTAAAGATGTACACGAACATCAAACACTGGAATCTTGCAACAAACCGCCAATTTTTTCTGAAAAATAATATTCACTTTAGTTCAATAATTTTCTTTTGGAAATTTTTTTTAATTTCAAAAAATATAAAAAAATATTTTTTTAATATAATATTACCATGTCTTCGTATAATTCCTTAAAATAAACGGCACCATATTTGTTGTGTCTTTTCTCATATTCTAATTCTATATGTTGAAGCTTTCGCTAAATATTAGCATATTAAAATATTAATTTTTTCATAGAATTAACAAAAATATAGATACATATATACCCATTTAACGGTTAAAAGACCGAAATTTTAAAACTTTAATTTAGCCCAGGTTTCATTTTCCAATAATCAAATGACTAGAAATTAAAATTTTTGGATAAGCATTCCCTTCCCACTTCAAAATTAAAATATACAAAACGAGAATTATTCAGAGATAATCTTACAAATTTATCCAAGAGATTCTCCTTAGCCACCAACTGTTGATAAACATCGTATTCACGTTTAACTCCAATAATGACGCTCTAAAAAATAATGTTTACAACTTTTTGAATGCGCAGCATTTTAATCGTTCTTTAGAAATTATTTAATATCTCCTAAGCCCAATTAATGCTATCGGAGGCGCCTTTCTTTTATAAAACTACTTTACTCATGTTTTAATAAAAGAAAAAATGAAGAGACAAACCGTTTTCCCTTCAAATAACTCCTCGTTATTCAAGTCAAACAATGCTAAAATCCCTTTAATTTCTTCAATGCTCCCTTTAGGAAGATAAAAAACATCAGCAAGTTCATTAGTACTGAAATACATCGAGTTTTCGGAGAAGACGATACCCTTTAAATTTATTTTAAAAATAAAACATAAAGAAAAATAATAGGAGGAAGAAAACAAATATTTTAACTAAACTACAAAGGACAACTCGTCCTTGATTTTTTGAACCGTGACAAAACTAATTTTAAGCAGTTATCTCAAATTTGACATAAATTAATTGAATCGGTTAAAATAAGTGTTTTACATCTTATACGATAATTAAGATAAATTCTTACAATCACGCCATATTGTAAAAACATCCTATTAACATAAAATCTTTCAAAGCCAAGATTGTCAGTGTTATTAACAATTACTATCCCCATACCATATTGTTGAGCAAACTCGGCAGCTTTTTTCATGCAGAAAAGTCCAACAACAGGACCAAGATACTTCGACCCGTCAACAAAGAGCGTTAATCCTTGCCGCTCCATTTTTGGATCACCTTAAGTTTAAATGTCCCAAAGATCTTATGAACAAAAATTATACCAAGTTCGTCCATATCCTCGGATGCTATTTGAATGACAGTAGACAAAAGACTCCCTAATCCAAATCTAGAAACATTACTTTTAATAAAACATAAAAGAAAAGCAGATTACTTTGTACACCCAAATTTATCAGAATAATCTATCGCATCAGCCATAAGACCACTGGAAGATTCTGATAGCCCCACGCTTTTCAATATTCGATAAATAAAACGATTGACCTAAAAAATTAGATTAAAAATTCTTAAACTATATATGAATATAAAACAGCACATTGCATATGATAACGAAATAATATTATTTTCAGGCCAAACTTGAGATCGAATTACTTAGGAAAATAATTAAGATGATTAACACAAAAACCAGGCTACCTCTGAAACTAAAGGGGGAGAGGAGAGCATCCAAAAAGGACTCGAAAAATTAAAAATATTTTATAAAAACTAACTACGCCTGTGGGTGCAGCAAAAACATTTTTCTTAACAAAATCTGGGTGAACACTGTTGCAATGCGCCGCAAAATCATTGTTCACTTTAGTCCCAACACATAACGGACACATTTTTGTTTCTGGTAATGTTGTTAAAATGTCTCCCAATTTTGGAATCTCCACCTTTGGTTTTTTAACGTTAGGACGAGATGTCGATTGATTCGCTTCTCTGACAGCTTAAAATTGTTAAATTATTTATTATTAAAAATTATTAATATACCCAGCAATTTCTCGTAGTCAGAGGAAGCTTTATGGTATGCAAAGTTTACAACATTCTTCTTGTTCCGTAAAACTCCACATTTAGTAAGCACCATTTCATAGTCTTCACGAGACTAAATGAAAAAAACAAATTAAATTAATAATTTTTTCAATTCGGTTTTGGGTTTATTTTTAATATTTTAAACGATAAGAAATTAACAAATTTATGATCAGATTTTTTTAATCGAAATTAGTAAATATTTTTTTGTAAAACTCACGACATAATCTGGAATTTGTTGAATATTCTGATTGTGGCTCATCTTTAAATATTTAAAGTTTTAAAAAGAAAATAAATATTTTTGTTCAATTAATATGTAACTGAAAAGCTTGTTAAAATAAAAAAATATAACGAAATCGTTAAATCATTGAAATTACGGACAACACCCTATACCTAATATTGGAGGTATTATAAGAGATAAAACATCCAAAACAATAAAACTTTAAAATGATAGAGCTAATTAGTTTATATGCAATTTTTCAATATTTATTACGAAAAGAATTAATAAATAGAATTGAAGAAAATTGATAAAATAATATTCTAATGGATGTAAGTAATTCACTCACACTGTTCCCGCTATTTAAAATCTCAACAAAACATACTAAACCTAGAAAGTTTTCTGGGAAGTTCTATGACATTTGCGCTGCGACATTTGCGCAGCAGACATAACTTTGTGGCGTAGTGACAAAAGACCTACAGACAGAAGACCCACAGACAAAAGACCCACAAGGAAATATTTTTACTAAAAGCTTAGAAGAACAAGATTGGACAAAGTTACGATACAAAAACAAACAATGTAAACATATGGGCATCTGTGGGTCTTCTGTCATCGGGTCTTGTCTGTTGGCTTCTGCCTCTGTTGTTGATGTTTTTATTTTTTAAGGTAGAGGGAAACAAAAATCGCGTCGCTCATCCTAGCGGCGCCACGCATGGGACCGAAACTGAACTGATTGAACGATGATATTAAATAATGATTATTGAATAAAATATGATAGTGAATATGAATTATTAGTTTTTCGGTGCGTGCATATTTTGTAAGACCCTAACTATTAATTAATGATGAATATGTATTAAGTCAGGGTAGATACATATGTAGTATAATTGATTATTAAATTAACTTTAGATAAGTACTATACGTTTAGAATCATTTTTTTATAGTAGCTCTCAACAAAGTTGGTTATTTTATTTTTTAAAAGAATGTGAACTTTCTTACATTTTTCCTATATTTATATAAAAAATTAATCCTTTTTATTGATGATGGGAATGTTAACGGCATACTGAATAAAAGGCATATTTGATGAAGGAAAAATGCCAAAAGCTAGTAAAAGAGTGAAAGAATGATAATTATAATTTAGACCTAAAGTTCAGATAAAGAATTCAAATTTAAAGAAGGTATGCTCGTCAAAGTTTATCAAATTTCAGAAATCAATAACTATACCGAAAGAAGCTTTTTAGCTGTTAGAGTTTACCTATTTAATTCCCTTGTAATATGTACTACATACATATAACAATTAAAGGGTTAGATCAAAAAATTTTAACTTTTTTCTCCAATAAAATGTAAATAATCATAACTTATAGGTCATAGTTTGTAATAATCTTACCAATTTTTTTAGATCAATTTTTCCGTCTAAAATCATTTGCAGAAATTTTAATCCTTTTGTATCAGGTTTTATGGCAATAAAGCAATATCTCTGAAATTAAAGAAAATTATGTTTTTTCCAAAATAATAAAATGAAACTGAATTTTTAAGTTAAAATATTTTTTTTGAAATAGTTGGGAAGTCAACTTCGTGTTATTTGTTGATTATCTTATCCTTACAGGGATTTATTTCGCATAATAAAACCTATTTTGGCGTTATTTTTTAATTTGTGAAATTTTTATCAATTTTTGGGAAATCTTATCAAATTTCAACAATTTTATTAATTTATCTTGTAAACTTAAAATCTTATCAGTATTAGAAAAACACTTTTCTAATTCAAGAAATTTTTCTTAATTTATTAAGAAATTTTATAATAAAATAGGTAGATGTGTTTTGTAAGGATGTCTGATCATAGGAATTCTTATAAAATGATAGGTGTTACTGTCTTGAATATCTCATCATGATCAGATAATAAGCATCTATGCCATAAAAAACGCTCATTATATGTACCTATATTCTTCAATTAATGAAATACTTACTTGCTTTTCTTTTGTTGTATATTTTTTTACAATTGAGTAAATAATTCTCGAAGTAATTAATAAATTTTTAATATGCTTTTTCCAGTATTTTCCAAATAGTTGCATTTTATTCATGGGTCGCCATACATTATTGTTATATCCGAGTACACTGGGTGAAATAAAGATGTTTTTAATTGAATTTTTAGTCTTTTTGATGAAATCAATGATAATAAGACTGATTAAATTTGAACAACCAAATAATAAAATTGAATTAAAAAATATAATTTAGAAATATTTTCCTCATAATATTTTTGGTTAGTTTTCAATAATATAATTTTAAATTATATTATTGAAGTTAGATCAATTTTTCCTTTCGTCAAAAACCAAATACAATTATATATTTTAGAGCAGTTGAAATATTTATTATAACTGCCAAGACAAAAATTTTCAACACTTTTTGAAAGGCCAAGAAGCCAGATTTTTTCAATTTTTGAGTCAGATCCTAAATCTGAGAATTTTGCACGCCCACGCTAACAGATGTCTTACATTTTAGCGCCGCAGGCGAAAATTTTCCGATTTTTGGTGGACCTACAGGCCAGATTTCTACCAATTTAGGAAAAAATACCACCGTCCCCGGGGATGGTAGTTGAACCCTAGTGAACAGAACACATATTCTGCAAAAACAACCGCATATTTTGGGGAAGCAATCCGCAGATTTTGCGGACAAAAAATCAAAAAATCTGGAGTTTTTTTTACAACAGAGCCACAGAATTTCTATTTATGCAAATTTACTGCGGTTCTGTGGATAAAATACAAACTTTTAAAGACGAAATACAAGCTTTTTGTGTTTTATTCAAATAATTATTATTAATAATTTTATTTTTAAACTTTAGATTTTATAGAATAATCTAAAATCGGGATAAAATTGATAATAAAATTTTTCTGACATTTTTAACAGTCCTCTATCAACAATTTCTTTTAACTTTTAAATTAAGCAATATGGGTTATATCAATTAGTTAAGAAAATTATTTTCAAAAATATTATGATACGAGAAAAAGCTAATAAAGTATTTTAATTTTTTAAGAAGTAAAAAATTATTTTAAATTTTTGTTAAATTAAATTTTAAATTTTGCTTACGTTTCTAGCTGTTTTAATGTCTTTAAATCTAAAATAGCATTTGGATATGTTGCTGCCTTAATTATGTCCACAAGTAATTCAAGAGGCATTTGCTTCTTTTGGTATTTCTCTCCAATTTCTGAAGTTTTTAATTTTTGTTTAGAATTCATAATTCTAAAAAAACAAAATAAAAAATTTTCAAATTATTTTTGAATTTTAAAAATTATTTGCTAAATTAAGGAGTTAAATAAATATAAAATAATTTTATAATTTTATTCAGTAAATTCAAAAAATATTTTTATATTAGCCATTAATATTAGAGAAATTTATATAATACATTATTTGAATTAAAAAATCTTTTAATGTCCCAATTATGAGACGACGAATATTTTTACCTGCTACATATGTACACTATTTATGCATTTGTTTTTCTACATTATCGTTCCTTACTTGAGCAAACAAACTTTTTTTTGAATGAAACAATCATTTTTTCTTTTGTAAACAAAGAAAATAGAAATTTAAATTTTTACTGCTAAGTACGTGTAGGGTTAAGGGACAGAAAATATAGTGGGAAAATCGGAGAGAAAAAAGCGATGTCTCTCCTGAATGTTATTTTCTTTTGTTTGAACAATTTATTTTTTTAATTTCATTTATCTCTTTTAAAATTCTTTAAAACAATAAGACAAATATTTTTAATGGTACTTCTCCGTTTTGTTACACCCCCTATATTTATGCTCAAAATGTCATATATAGGGTAATAGATAAACCCAAAATGAGCTTACTCCCCTCTATGATATTTCGTTCTTCGGGGACCTGTATTTTGATCCACAGACGTCTCCAGAAAAGAAGAGTGGTACGTTCGA